TCGCGACTGAGACGGGAGTCAGCAAAAGTCTAAGCACAGGATGACTTGCTCACCTTTTGAATGACCCTAAGCTGATGATCTTTTTCTTGGATAGAGCACGGAAAACACCCGAGACGACCTCAAAGGTGGGGTCTTCGTAGTTCTTTTTCAGTCTGTCGTACTTCTCGATGTCTTCCCTGATTCGCATATGAGGTGGGATCATGTTCAGACATCGATGGTTGGCTTACTCTGACATATTAAGCTCCGCTGTGGTCTCTTCTTCCCGGGCAAATTGCATGACAAGATAAGAATATCTCGTCTGTCCTTGCCGAATGGGTGTACTCAATCCCAGCTGTAACGATTTTAGTCAAAGGTCAAATCAAGTAGATATAACTTACAATGAAGAGCACATGTTGATCATCTTTGGGTAGGAGGAATAATCGAGCAATGCTGGAATATAAGATTTTGTAGTCGTACGTCTTGCCACGAAGACGCAAGAAGTCAAGGAACATGTCAACGTCGTATCGTCCACGAGGGGTCAAGACGAGAACTTCTTCGAAACTGAGGACCAAGTCTCCAGAAACCTGGCCAATATCTGCTTTGTCTTTGATGGCGTCATGGAATGCCTGTGCCGCGCTCATTTCCTCTCCTTCTCCTTCACCTTCACCTTCTGCTTCATCATCGGATTTCTGCGAGCCAGCGTCCGACCCTCGGGCACGAGGTTGCGTACCAGGGACATAGAAGCGAATCTCCACCATCTCGTCTGGAGCGCTGCGGGAAGGTTTCTTTCCAGATGGCGTTGATGAGGCAAATTCTAGTGAGACTTCAGTGCGACCAGCGATGTTGGAGTTTGCTACTTGGCTCAAAGGGAGCTCGAAAGCCGTCTTGTTTGACACGAGGAACGCCAAATCTTGTCCTGGAATAGATGTTTGAGATAATATAAAGAAGACTTAAGTATGCCACACCTTGGATGTCTGTTACACCCCAGTTCCAGCCTTTGAATGTGACATCTTTGACTTCCAGGGTCACCGCAAAGTGCTGCTTGAGTAGGCCTGCGAGTTTATCGTGATCCTGCGAGACTCCTTAATAGCAGTTCATCTCCAAAGGCCTGTACCAACCTCCCGCAAGAAGCCATCAAAAGTTTCCCGCCGTCTGTCCTTCAAGCCTATTCGCAGCTGGAAGTTCCTTGCAACACGATACCATTGGGCCCATTTCACTTCTGCAGATGGTATGGCAGTTACTGTATCATTCTCTTCGCCCTTCCAGGCCATTCCACTTGCTGCAACACGAAATTCTAGCAGGCATCATCAACACAGGATGTGAGATCAAGGGAAGTCTCCTTACTCCCAACTTCAGCTGAAAGGCCATAATAAATTTTATCAAACTGCGTTGTCGCCATAGCGGACAACAGAAGGTGTCAGCAAAAGAGGATAGTAGATGGGGGTTGCAACGTTGAACGTTGAGAGTTAGTAGTCTCGACGCGTTCAATGACAAATCATCACGCGTCTTGAAGTTGTATTTGCTTATATATAAGCGAACGCCTAGACTAGATATCATCTAGCCGCTTGCTACCTTAGCCTAGTACTGCTGTTCTCCACCAAGCATCTCTAGGAGCACGTCTTCACGTCGAGCTAAAGTGTAGGATCAGCTGGCAACGCGATCTCTAAGTTTCAAGTATTACTCGCCGATCAGGTGGCCGCACTATACAGTGAACTAGCTGTCCAGTGTCAACTGCAATGGATTCAACTCAAGAAAGAACCTTCTGCAAGTGGTGAGCTACCTGACCGTACACTGCCGTTGATGGAGTAGCTCATTTTTCCATCTAGGCTTAACACCAAACTTGAAGCAAATGGTTATCCACCCATGCACTCGCTTGTCCAAGACCTTTCGGATGGTGTGCGCCTAATCCAGCTCATGGTAAGAGGGATGATTGTCTTCTAGCTCGAGCAATCATGATTTATGTTCTGTGCTGTACAGGAAATAATGGGTAAGGTTGTATGTCATTCCAATTCTATATGGTGTGGATAGCTCGCGTGTTGTACAGGTGATACATCCCTTGGAAGATACAATAAGAACCCCCGGATGCGCGTCCAGAAGGCAGAGAATGTCAACAAAGCACTGGAATTCATACGACAACGCGGTATCAAGTTAACAAATATTGGTCCAGAAGGCACGTTGCACAGTTCGGTCTGAAGGAACTCAGCCAACCTGTTGGAGTCTAGACATCATCGACGGTAACTTGAAACTGATCTTGGGTATGATCTGGACCTTGGTTTTGCGTTTTACCATCGCAGACATCAGGTAAGGCAATTCGTATAAGAAGATGCCTCGTTGAATGCGGCTGTTTCAGTGAGGAAGGCCTTTCGGCAAAAGAAGGCTTGCTGCTTTGGGCTCAACGCAAAACTGCGCCTTACAAAGAAGTCAATGTACAAGACTTCTCCATAAGTTGGTCGGATGGGCTAGCGCTGTTAGTACACTCCCTGACTGTAATCCGCCTCTGACTTACTCGTTCAGCTGTGCATTAATCCATTGTCATCGCCCCGAGCTCCTGGATTATGACAAACTCGACAAGGCATGTAGCAGTGGAGGCATCCGTAGGCATTGTGCCTGACTGCGTTGTTTAGTTCGATCGACACGGTAATACTCGCCTGGCATTCCAAGTGGCTGCAGACCATCTTGGTGTCCCAGTAAGCTCGCATTAGGCAACGCTTGCGGAGATGCTTACCTTTGCTTATGCAGCAACTCCTCGAGGTAGAGGACCTGTGCGATTCGACGCGTCCAGACGAACGCAGTGTCATGACCTATATTGCAAGTTATTTCCACGCCTTTTCAACTATGGGTACGTTAGAAGCTAAACTTGCTGTCACATCATATGCAACTAATCACCTGGATAGATCAAGCTGAAACCGTTTCCCGACGTGTCGAAAAATTTGCTGAACTAATGCAATCCGTTTGGACGAGCAAAAATGATTACGAGCGTCGAGCTCGTGCCGTGCGTCTACTCACATCGCTTACTTATAATAGCTCACGCCTTTTTGGTCCCCATAGCTCCTACATGCACTTTCTGAGGTCCAGAAAAAGTGGTCAACTAGCCATTTCACCGGCTCATATACTGATGCAAAAGAACAATCTGCCACTTTTACAACTTACAAACACACAACCAAACGCATATGGGTCACAGAGCGACAAGATGTCACTACACTGCTTGGCAACATACAAATCAAGCTTCGGACTTACGGGCTGAGAGAATATATCCCTCCCCTTGGTCTCGCACTTTCGGTGGGTATTCAAGATGTAATGTGTTAATTTTTTACCTGATTATATACATTGAGTTCTAGGACCTTGACGATGCATGGAGTGACCTGCTTCAATCTGAAGCGAAAAGGTCGCGGGCAATCAATGCACAGATACGACAGTCAGTCCTACGCTTTTCATTGCTCGCTCTCAATGTTCAATGGGTAGCCCAGGATCAAAGAGTCGTTGCGGAAAGAATTCGCGGATTTGGCTAATGATTTCTCGCAACGTCTACACGCTATATCATTGGAGCTCTCAGGTGTCGCGGGGCCGCTAGAGGTCTGTATCCAACTTGCAAATAGACAGGGGCTTACGTATGATGAAATAGACCCAGCAAGACCAAGTTAAAGAAATTCAAACCCGCCTGCCGACGTTATCTGAAGCCCTAATGCGCGTAGCAAAGGCAGAGCAAGACTGCGTCGTAGCAAACGTAGAAGAGAACGACTATACCGTGTTCACATGTCAAGACCTTGAGTTTGAACTAGGACTTGTGGCGCAGAGCCTTACGAAGAAGATATCTTTTATTGACAATCAGGTCCGGATCTCTTTGAGCACATCCCACTTGACTAATGCAGCCCAGATTGTCTCCCGAAATATGACTAACCTAACTCCCGCACGACTGGAGCAATTCGAGAGCACTTTCCGGTACTTCGACCGCGACGAAACCAACACGTTGAGCTTGACAGAGACGAGCGCGGCTCTCGCAAGCCAAGGTCTTGTGTACTCAGTGAGTGTATCATGCACTGCATAGCTGCGCAGCTCATCAAGCCATTGAACGATTAGGATGAGGACATGACTTATATTTACGACCAGCTGTTACAAGACTACGGCGCGGTCACTTTTGAAGCCTTCATCAATCTCTTGGTGAGCTGATTCTCCTCCGACATTAATGTCATTCTTACAGACAACTCGCGAAAGGTCGACATAACAGAGGATCAAACATCCCCAGAGCAACTGCGCGAATCATTCCGTGGAATTGCGGGTAATAAAGTGCGTGACTTTCACTCGGTGGCTTGTGCACTGATGAAATTCTTTTCTGCAGCCTTTTGTGACTGAACTCGATTTGCGCCTGGCTCAGTTGCCCGTAAGTGCAGTCGACTACTTGAGTGAGGTGATACCGTCGACAAACAATGAGGTCGGAGAACCCGAGTATGACTATGAGACTTGGCTCCAGGACGTCTTTGCATAGTGTGAAGCAATAGATCGATTATTCAGAACTCTCAGCCGTCCCGGTGGCTGACGCCACCGATGTAATACCCGACTTGATTATTTGGACTCAGCATGTTGTAACTACTCTCAGTACACGAATTTCGAATCAACACATCTGAACCACAGCAGTGCAATCGGAGATCATTTCTGCTACTGACGCGTCTTGTCTCAAGGTTCAAGATGGCTTCGCCGGTACGACTAGTGATGCAGGTGATGGTAGAATCGTGAAACACACAAGCCGTGTGTTGTCCCCACCGTGTGGCCAAGCCAACAGAGCCCAGATCAACCCAGTTTGATGTGAGTCCAATCAAGAAAAGACAGCATTGTCATTTTAAATGAGACAGCGAACACCATCGGATCCTGCATTGATTGATGCCGACCACGAGTGGGCACGAATGCGTTGCGTCACGGTGGGTGCTATGGTATACATTCAATGTAGTAGTGTACTAGACTTTCATGACCAAAAATGTTCATCTCGAATCAGTCACCGGTTCGTGGGTTCAACTATCGGCAGGAATTTATCTGTGACCAAAGACAGACTTTGGCTGATAAGGCTCTTCCAAATACTTACGCTCTTCTGCGGTCAGAGTGATATTAATGGCACCTAAATAAAAATCAGTTCAGGACGTCTGCTCTTTGATTACAAGACACATACCAACAAGATCCTGGAGGTGCTTCAAGGACGTGGTCCCGACGACCGGCGCAGTGACGATGTCTTGTGCCAACGACCAAGCAAGGGCTATCTGTGCCATACTTGCGCCTTTCTTCTTCGCAACTTCCTCGAGGCTATATATATTGCTTCAAAATCTAGTGGATGGAGGGGCGAGGGGTGACCATTCTCACCGGCTCATAATGTCTTGATCAGACTCATGCTGGACGTAGGAGTTTATGGCACTATAACGTTAATTTTATCGATGATTCATGCGTAAATATAGATGAAGACAACTAACGAATCGCTCTTTCCACGAACTGTTTTCTAGCCAAGAGGACGGGTGAGGAGTCCTCGAGCAAGCGGTGACCAGGGGATGCATCCAACGCCGAACATCTACAATAATCAGGAGACAGGAAGGGACAAAAACAAATAAACCAAACCTTGAGTGTCGGGAACATCTCTCGTTCCTCTTCGCGATAGATCAAATTGTGGTGGTTCTGCATAGAAATGAAAGGTGTGAGATGGTTTGTGATCGCGTAGTCTAAACAGATATGCATGCAGTTAAATTCATTTCGCTCACACCAAAGCTATGGTCTCACTCTGCATTGCCTGGACTGAAGGTGTACTAAGATCGGAAACACGACAGAGTGGATGTCAAAGCGTACATTGGTAAGCCAAGCATGAAGACATGCCAATGTACCGGACATAACCGGCCTGTACAACATCATGCAGAGCTTGCATCTAAGCATGATGCAAGTCGGTCAATAGATTATGAAGCTGAGGAATGGTGCTGACATACCGTTTCCTCGATCGAGGTCTCTGTATCAAAACGATTGCCTGGAAATCAGTCAACCTTGAATCTTTAATCGAACACCGGGTCGGGACAAACACGACAGGACATCAACATAATCAAGTTGCAAGCGTTCTAGACTCTTTTTGATGGATGGGAAGATATGCTACTCGTGTCAGATCAGATAGGTGCAATAAGTCCACAGGAGACAACATCCTTAACTTGCGACTCAAACCCCTTTGATTAACGTAGCCTAGTTGATCAGGACGTACACCTGGCTTGGAAAGTCTTTCACTCGGGGTACGGCCAACAACTCTATAGACCTAAAGATCATTTAATCAAGACCTGTGAACAAGCAACACATCAGAGGTCTGGCCTTTGTCATGACTACAATCTCATCCCGAGGTAAGCTGAGCTTTTTGATCGCGTTTCCAAGTACGACCTCTGAAAGTCCATTGGAGTACATCTAATCTTATAGATTAGTAATTCATCCCCGAGGCGAAGAGATGTTTCATCTCACGTCTGCGGTGTCAAAGGTGTTAATGCCCGCGTCATAACTTCAATATCGATAGTAAAGACATGCTTTGGCGTTGAGGTTATGCGACAACAGTACTCACGCAGTCTTGATGTGGATGATGGCTTCTTCCTCTCCAAGAACCCAATCTTGCCACTCGCTGGTACCTATGTTGAAGAATCAGGTGGCTTTAATCATTCACGCGAGTAAACGCTCTACACACCATACTGCATTGTTCCCAGAATGATTTTGGAAACTTTGAGCCCAGAGTTGCCCAGGCGAACTTTATGCCAGTGGTAGTCAGTCCATTAACAACCTCGATAAACGAACAACTAATATCATACCATAAGGCATTCCCTTCTGCGTAGTCGACATAGTCGCTAGTAGTACTGGCTGGGTTGGGAGCGGCGAAACTATTCCGAGAGCTTGGAGCCGACGCATTATAGGTTAATAAAGACATTGGAATATTATCATCGGCGGCGCAACGGCGGCAAGTCATTCACGGGATCTGGCAGATATGATCGTCTCCGAGCCAATTTGTGGGAGAAGTTCTTATGAAGGTTACTTCGTCTGTCAATCAAATACAGTACCAGATTGACAAAATAATGGACGATACCAGTCAGGCAAGGATGCCAGCACAGTACCCCCAGTTCTGCGTACTGCTGACTCGTCATGAGGAGCCATGCTATATGAAATGTGTTAATGTCGAGTCTGAATCTGTCCGCGTTGACGTTGAAAGGTTACTATGTAACACGTAACCTCTTGAATATACTGCTTGATCGATTGATCTGCGCACATTTTATAATTAACCTACCTCGACGTGAATGACAAGGAGCACAAGCCGTCCAGCGGCCTGCAATATTAGCGTCGGAGTTACGTCGGAGTGTCAATCATGTCACGGGCATTGACTGTTTGTTGGACTTGGTAAACAAGAAGATAACCCAAAGGCCTTAAGCTTGTCATGGCACCTCATGTCTCCCCTTCTGTTGCCCCTCCAGATAGCCGACCTATGAAACGTCCTCGTTTATCCAAATCTACTCATCGCGTTCTTAATGTTTGGGCTCAGCTCGCGGAACGCTACAACAAACGCCTCGATGAAGATGATATAGTCGACCTTTACAGCGGCACCATAATCAGCGACAGAGGAGTACTAAAGAATGGAAAAGACTACGATTTTGGTCATTTTACTCCCGATGATAGTCAGGATGAGCAGGAGCAGGAGCAGGAGCAGGATGATGACATCGATGAATTGGATACGCTACCCGTTCGGCGCGCGCCTGGAACCGACGGTACTATGGCATCAACTTCTGAGTTGCTTCGTGCTGTGCCACCTCTTTCAGCAACAACAGACGCTGACGATCTCAACGACTTTCTGGAGGCTGAAAAGAGACGAAGAGAACTGTTGGGGGATGAGGACGGCGAAGATGATCTGTCTATGGAAGGACTAGCTGCACTACGAGAGGCTTTACACGAGTCGGAGGAGGAGGAAGAGCAGCCGGAGACCGTTGATCCAGAGGATGCAGCCGTTATAGAAGACGAGTCTGAGGATGAACTTAATAGCATATGGCAGCACGACGAGGCTAGCGTTGTGTACCACATCACCCGCAATGAATCTGAACAGGATGTTGCGGAAGGTGAGCAAACAATCCTCGAGTTCGCTGATTCTGATGAGGAGTTTGCTGCGCTCCTCGAGCGACCCCCGCGAGCTGGAAAGCGAAAACGAAAATCTTCTCCATTTTCTTCTCAACGAAAATCTCCCCCATCTTCATCACAACGAACGCCATCGCCATCCTCTCCCCTGCGAACACATTCCCCATCTTCGTTGCAACAAACGTCTTCTTCATCCTCTCCGCTTCAAACACCTTTGCCATCTTCTTCACGGCGTAAACCATTGGCATCCTCTCCACTGCAAAAACCTTCGCCATCTTCACGGCGTAAACCTTTACCATCCTTTCCGCTACGAAAACCTTCTCCATCTTCTTCGTATCGTTGTCCGTCTTCTGACAGCACCTTAGGTAACGTAGCTACCTTTACGGTCTGCATAGTTGCTTACCAACGGTCTGTTCCGCAGTGCCTGATACTCCTTCGACTACAGCAAGCACCCGTTTTGCGTCTCGCACACCGCGGACTCAGGTCTACCCTTTTACCGCCCCCTCCGTCGATCCCACACAACCACCACAACTCCTTCTCTACCAGGCGATGCACCAATTGTCATATGCTTTGTCCGCCACGATGTTGACATACGGCTCACCTCATATGCCTCCGCCACCGACAGGTCCGTGGGGTGCGTACCCACCAAGTTTTGCGCATCCTCAGTGGGGACCACAAGGGATGTCGGAAGCATCACACTCTTTTAAGCTGGCCAATGATGAACTTGATGATGACCGGCCGGATGATGAAGGTACACTCGTGGACCATGACGGTGGTACGCTAGAGAATGACAGAAGGCAGAGGCGGTCCATGAGTCCCATAGGTTCAAGGAGGGATGCGAGAAAGATTGAGCGCCGGAAGTCTGCCCGATTCTACGAGGAAAAATATCAGGACCAGCGTTTCGTAGCAAGGGGCCGAACACCTGGTACCCCATCTCCTACCCGTAGTCTTAAGGGGTCCACTAGCACGAACAAGAAGGGGAAGGCAAAACGCAAGTCTTAAGTTATATGATCTTCCCGTTGTGTATTTAAGCAGTATGTATTGGACATTTTCTTGGGTATCAAGAAAGACTGTTAGAATCTGTTGTACTGTTACTTATTCTTACTTACCACCCTCATCATATACCCAGTCGATGCGCACACTCGGTTCACTGCCGACATAATATATTTCTTACTTGGTCAGTCTCGATCTCCGACTACCGTATTGTCGTAGTACATCTTGCCTGCCGCAGTGGCTGGCGACTACTCTGTCGGTACGCTCCATTACATGATTTCTCCTGACCACTATAAGTTGCTTCCGAAGTTGCGGCGGGTGTATGTCACATATCGCAAATTTACACACCTCTTACAAGAGTACGTTGAAAAGTTCGAAAACACGACTATCCAAAAGTGGATGAACCCCTGTACGCAGAAGCAACTCCGAGTCCCAGGCCACAGAAGGAACAATCTGAGAGATTGGTATCAACGAGTGTCTAACGAACCTCTCAGTTGTTTACTAGGCCATCTCGCAGGCTCAAAATGCCAGTAACTGATGCCCGTGGTGTTACTTAAGTCTGCACGTACTCGGTAGAGTTTCGAGTGTTCCAAAAATGTGACAGCACACAATGAACTCAGATGTTGAGCAGCCTCATTTCGTCAATTCGCAACACTCCTTAATGATTTTCTCGATACAACAGGATATAGTGGGAACTGAACAAAGGGGGAGCTTATAGAGGATCCTCGGTATCCTGGCCCTTCCTCCAAGTCAAGCCAATGTATAACTACACACGTATAACTGGAAGAAAATAATCATATGTGCCAATATACCACCACGTCCTGGGATTCGACAACTTCGACGGTATGTGGCGATGCATTTGACAATGCTGGGAGAGATGTGTGCTTTCCCTAAAAGAAATTTCAAATAAACATCAGTTGCGTCCATTGGCGATGTGGAAAGCTCACGACGTTTCGTTTCAAATAGCTCGATACCAGTGAGGCGGGCCATCCTTCCCCAGCGCCTCCTTCAAAGCCTTATATTTTGCTTCCGGTGGCGCGTGAGTTGACATGCGTTCCCCCACAGTACAAGGATCGTCACAAGCGAGGGCAATGCACCAAAAGTATTTGCCCTTGGGAGTTTTCACTCGACGAACTCTGGCGTAGGAGATAACGCCCGTCGCTGCCATGACATCTATCGACGCAAGGCTAACGATATCATCCAAGTCTTCGGGTGTCTTGGCGGGCGGATGACCTATCTCAAGGGCTCGTTGGTGCAACCAACTATCGCTCACTATATATCCATAGTATTTCACCATGACTACGATGCGTGAGGAAGGATTAGAATACAGACGGTTCCGACGCAACTGCATGCTCTCACCTGAAGTGTATCCGTGATGGTGTTTGATTCCAACTTTGAACCAAGTGTTGCTCTTTATATGGGGTGTCATGTGACAAGGCACGTGCTTCTATACGCGGTGACCTGTGGTCCTGTCACCTGTGGGTTAGTGCCACTGAGTGGCAACTGATGTACAATTACTGCTATCACTCATTGTTGCCCTCTTCTGTCTTCGGAGTCAAAAGACTAATCTTTTTGTTTCCTCTCTTGGGATTAACTTCCACGTCATAATCTCAGATCCGAACCGTACGAAAATGTCGAGCCACCGTGACTCGAGTAAGCATCAAACTCCATTGTTATTGTCCACCGTCAATGCTGCACAATGGCCGCATGACACATTCTCAGTGATATTCTTCGCAAAAAATATTGAAGTCCGCACGACGTATATTAACATACTAATTGGTCGCTATCATTCGTCGCACCAGCTACATACTCATAATTTGGGATGGCCACTTCCAGTGATCAATTGCTACCACGCAAGACTCGCTTGGAGACGTCATATGCGTTCTCTCGCACGTTTAACTCCCGTAACATGGAATTCTACTGGTACCCACTGTGGTGTCAGACACTCTTCGATCTTGTGGCAGATGTGCCAAATTTAATTGTGGCGCCTCAATTCCCAGTTTGGATTGTAAAGCATAATGACCAGCTTGAAGGTGCAGACGACGGCGATGATCCTGAAGAGGTGGAAGAAAGAGTAGCCCAGGGAGAGGAGGATGTTGCAGCAGTCGTCCAAATCCTCGGTAACAACGAAGAAGAAGGAGACCACGAGCCTGACTCGGAGGTCGGGAACATTTCTTTCGCATCGACTGTCCCAGAAAAGAACGCTGAGAGCGTTCTGGTGGATTTTGCGATTGTCGGTCTCACAGCTGTGCCTCAACCAGAGCAGAAGTCTCGCTATGGAGGGTGGCGAATAACTGCGGCAAGTCCTTGCCTTCTTGTGGAAGTGAAAAGGTTTGTGAGTAGGAGCCTGAGGGATGACGAGCTTGATGCAGAGATTCGGGCGCATGTTCAGGAGGCTAGAATCGACCTGGTGATACAAGCAGGACATCTTTTTATTCAAGATAAAACCAAGGATTCCATCATCGCCATCGCCGCCGCGGGTAAGTTATCCATACCACATATCTGTATTACATACCATGACCGTGACACTACAGGTCCATACTGGAGTGGCGCCGTAATTCATCGTGGCAACGTTGGACATACTATGGACCTTATTTCAAGCAATGACCCGAACTATCGACCCCCTGGTGAACAACTGGTTGACCGGAGGCCGAAGTGGAATAAGATTCTTCGCCTTGATGGCGCATCCTCCACGGTAGCTTCCGAAGCTCGCTTACGCACCATTTACAAGAAGATGCGGGAAATGGGAAATCCAAAAACGGGTGCTAAGTAGTGTAATGTTTGCTCGGAATCGTTGATGGGAACTTGGGCTTTGGATCTGAAAATAATACTCGATTTTATTGCGAACAAGTGTTTTGACAGTAAGTACTATGGTGAGGGCAAAGTGAGCTCAGTAAGCCGTTGCGACAGTGGATTGCCGTGCCTGCAGCGCGTCTCCGAGTCCTGCAGATGGCCTTCCAAGGTCGCATTGCGTTGACTACTCTTTGATGAATGGCATTAACAAACAGGAGCTTGATGATGAACAGCCTCATGTCTAATGCTGTCCTTCAAGTTCAGTGCCCCGAAGTTCTACGGTCCTTTTGCAGGGCGTTCTGGTCCTCAGTCATACAACGCAGATCGTCGTACATGCCCTGTGGAGCTCAGAAGGATTGGCTGTACCGCTGTCTAGTGCAGAGAACCACACTCAATATATTTAGATGATCCATAGAATGCATGTAACTGACCAAAGAAACCACTTGCTACACTAGACTTCTCAGCTTTGAAATGCCATCCTGGAAGACATTCAAAACAGTATCTCCAAGAGAACTCGAAAAAAACTGTTGCAACGACAGGGCCATGCGCTAGGTGAAGCACGCGCTCACGGCCACCAATCAACTGGGGGAATCGACTGGAGATGTCCACAGAAATATCACCGTACATCACCTGAGAAATGGGACCGTGAGCGGCACTGGGATTTAAGGTGAAAAAAGGTGTGGCAATCCAAAGTAATTGGAGCAGTTCCGTATTTCATTGCGGACGAAAATCTTGGAGGTACCCTGCGGGTTCCTAATCCCGTCTTATCAACGTGTTGGTGGGGCTGACTTGGTCAATTGCCCACCAACAACATCGCTCCACCAAAAAAAAATCTTGGAGGTTTGAGACCCAGGAATTCTAGCTGCAATGGTAATAACATTTTTCAGTAAACTGAATGCTGTCTTTCTTCTGCACTCGACTAAGACAATTTATGTACTCGTTCTAAACGGCATGCGAGACTGTCAAACGCACGATGCGATACTACCTGTGTGAGTTCTTTGCTATGGAATCAATTTAAAGTGAGCCTTGCGAACAGTGAAAATGGATTCAGATGGGCGGCACGGCGCTAAACCATGGTATGCCTCAAACAGATAAGAATGATGGTAAGAGAACGAGCGATCTGCCAAATTCAAATACTGTGCTTACCGAAAGGAAAAACTGACAATCATTCAGGAAGCGCGGCACAGAAGTTTTACAATAAAGGGCCTGCAGAAAGGTGAGCCAGACTGCAGCAGACAACATTAATGGGACAAAAATGATCTAACATTTAGAGGACACATCGAGAATATCGGCAAGCTACAATACACAGACCAGAAGGAGCAGGGAGCCCGGACAAAGTGACTCAGGACTCGGAGGTGTCGTGTTTTTAGGCAAGCAAAATCTCCCATTCACGGGACTTGGCATGTTTTATTGAGAGGATAGCCAGACAACGTAGTGCAATTTAAAAGGTGTCCTCCATGGGGTCGAAGATAGGCATACACACTTCAAATTTACAATGAGTCAATTAGCACATAGAATGATCAGTTGGACCAACTTACCATTGGTTCAGGGCCAGGGCCATTCTGGGTACTTTGCCCTCGTTCTCATCCATCCCTCCATGTTCCTATGTCCCTGCGATCAAGTTGGAGGGTCTTCTCTACCTTTCGATCGCAAAGGTCCTTCTCGCCAGTCCAACAACAAAAGATAGGAAATGGCATGAGCTCCCGAATGTCATTCGCGGCCCGATGGCCCCGAGTTTGATTATCTTCATGAAGCCCAATCAGGAGGCAACCCAGCTTTTCCTCAAAGAAGTCGAACGATGTTGACATGTCTGGTCCAGCAATCACACATGAGACCTGCTCAAGATGGGACAGCTTATCATGGAACTCCTGGAAGAGAAGTCGAGCCCATGCGCATGCGTCTTTTCGCTCTCCCTCCATCCAGAATGTCAGCCTTTTCAAACTCGGTGTGCTTGCCAGTATGAGATGTACATCATCTCCCCAATCCCAAATTCTGGGTCCCTCAATTGTAAATGGGCGCTGTGTGGCAGTCAATACTATTAATGTTATAAATAAAAATGTGTTTTGCTGACCCCAGTAGCGAAACCCGTCAGTGTGATTTCCTCTACATGCTTTGGAAGTAGTGCACGAGGCTCGTGTAGTACTGACAAGGGCCAAATCGTGAGATCAAGTCCCACATGCCTGACAGACACCGTGGAGTGGCTGACAATATCATCGAGACCCCATTTCGAGGACTGAAACTGTATATGGTAGCTCTTGAACCGCACAATTTGAACCGGGCGCCCAGGGACAAGGACGCGTAAAAAAGAGAGGGAAGCAGAGATTTCTATTAGGTGTGGCAGAGATGTGGGAGAAAGTATTTCCGGGAGCTCAAAGAAAGTATCTTGATCTAGTATTGGATCGCCAGTAATAGCAAGATCACGGATGTTGGTGTTATCCTGCTTGTTTAAGAAGGATAGCAATTGGCGGTCGACATCATAGGTGCAATGAAAAGCGAGAAGTTTGGCGTCACAGTATCGAAGGACAGATGAGTAGTGCTTAGTACTAAACGACTGAAAGACAAAGCTGAGCTAATAACACAGGCTAATTAGGAAATAAGTTTGGTTTGTAATCTTTCCTACAAAACGTCCGACAATATTTGTCATAAGTACTAGCTTACCACCAGGGTGAGTTTCAACTTGAATGTGACTTGATAACATGTGGCAGCCCCAGACGAATGAGTCCGACGTCATTGGACAGATTTTTAGGATCCGGTTACATAAAGATTTTAGAGCCGTCGTGCTGTATCACTTTGGTCATACGGGTCTCCGAAGACGAAGAGCCATAAATAGTTCCCCGTTATCATTGCTGGCCCAAGGCTTGATGTAGTCGCTTTGGTCCCGTATCTCTCCAAGCTTGGCGAATTGCCCTGCATCTTCTACGCCTGGTTTAAGGCTCACTCACATAATGGCAGCAAATGTGCATACCATCGCACAGACTGGTTTCGGGACCGGTACGAATGAATTGTATGACCGGTCAGTGGATTATTTGTGTGGTCTGCATGCGTTAATTGGTTCGGTTGCACGATGTGCACCTAGAATTCGCCCCTCGTACCCATCTGAGTCGCTTTCGTACATTCGTCAGTTACCCAAGAGTACAGCACCGTTGAACGTTGTCGAGTGAGTTCCATGAGTTAATCACGTTCTCCATTTAGCTGGCTTTCAGAATTGGGGCAGGGACGGGCATTTTCACTCGAGTTTTGTTAACTCACCCTGAGTGGGCCACGAGCATTGGTGCGCTGAGAGCGATCGAACCTAGTGTTGGCATGCGTGATTTTTGGACAAAGACTGTCAAGGACGATCGCGCGACTATTGTGGAGGGAACCTTCGATAGCACCGGCATAGAAGATGGGTGGGCAGACCTCATTGTTATTGCACAGGTGAGTAGTACTGGAATTACTAGGTAAGGACGCATCTCCATCCCTCGATTGCATAGGCATTCCATTGGTGCCTTGACCATGGCAAGGCATTGGCTGAATTCGCCCGTATCTTGAACAAAGACGGGGCAGTTGTGTTGATTTGGAATATCGAAGATAGGTTCGAATTCTGTTATTTTATTTTGTATCAATTATTCTTACAGTGCAGCAGGGAGGCTGCGGACTGGGTTGCACAGCTCTGTAAATGCAGGGAGGCCCACGAGAACGGCACGCCCCAATTACGCCTCAATCCCCTTAGGCAGTCGTTCTCTGCACCTGGATATACCTCCCTATTCCATCCCATGGAAGAGAGAGAATGGTCATATTATGCTCTTGCTACTGAACAAATTGTCACGGAGCGACAATTGAGTTGGAGTTACATTTCCGTACTTCCTCCAGATGACAAGGCCAAGGTAGTGGAGGATATCAAAGTCATCCTTGAGCGAGGAGATGGTAAAGTCTGGATCAACAAGGAGGAGGGCACGTATCAATACCCATACAGGACTCTCGTGGTGGTGTCTAGAAAGAAGTAGAAACTGTGATAATTGGGTTATAACTCAGAACACTCAATCACTTGTAGCTGGGAGATGAGCCGCAGTCGGATTTCACTCTCTACATATGAGGTAGTGCTTTCGGGATATGATTGCAGGTGTTATTGATGTTATTACAATAACTAGAGAAATTGTACTCTGCGTGAACCACTGCGGGTGCCGACGGGACCATGGACAAGACTGTACTCACTTTGGCCTCGTACTAATCTCATCAAGCTCCGAGTCGGCGACTCGTTTCACGTCTTCTACCTGTAGTTTAATCACCCAAACAATGGCGATGAATGTGCATCCAATTGCATGGTCAGGCTTCAGGACCAAGACAACTGAGTTGTATGATCAATCAGTGGACTATTTGCCTGGTCTGCATGCGTTAATTCCATTGTTCTGTTACACGTAGGGTTCGCCCCTCGTACATTCGCCGGGGCCGGGATACCCAAGAGCACAGCACCGCTGAACATCGTCGAGTGAGTCGCATGAAATATCTCAGCTAGTTCCTCCCTTCAGTCGGAATTCAGAATCGGGCAGAGACAGGAATATTCACATGTGCTTTGTTACATAAAATACCCCGAGTTGAGTGGGCCACGAGCATTGGCATGCTGAGAGCGGTCGAACCTAGCGACAGCATACGTGATTTTTGGACGAAGATTGAAAGACGACCGCGCTACTATTGTCGAAGGAACATTTGATAAGGATAGGCGGGCTGACCTCATTATTATTGCAGGGATGAGTAGTGCTAATGGTCAATCGGGTAGGCATGAATGTTCATCCCTCGGTGGCATAGGCATTCCATTGGTGCCTCGACCACGGAAAGGCATCGACTGAGCTCGCTCGTATCTTGAACAAGGACGGAGCAGTTGTGATGATATGGAACCTTGAAGATAGATTAGGTTGGGCTTCTGCGATTTTCTTTTGGATCAATTCCTCTTACCTAGTGCTGCAGGGAGGCTGCAGGCTGGGTTGCGCAGCTCTACGATCGCAGGCAAGGTCCATCAGAAAAGCACGCTTCAATTTCGCATCGATCTCCTGAGGCGGGCGTTCTCTGGTATACCTATTTCATCCTCACGAAGAGAACAAATGGTTATACTATACTCTTGCCACGAAACAAACTATTATGGAGCGATTACTGAGTTGGAGTTACATTCCCGTGTTCCTTCCAGATGAAATGGTCGTAGTGGAAGATGTCAAAGTCATCCTTGAGCGAGGAGATGGTCACGGTAAAGTCTGGATCAAACATTGACAGGTGGTATCTAAAAAGAAGTAGAAATTGCCGAAATATACGTACACACGTGCATGCAATTCCAAGCGTCACAACTGCTTAGACCTGCAATCAGCCTTATCCAAACTTCCAATTTTATTCCCTACTCTTACGCCAAACTCCCGGTGTACGATGGTGCAAGGTATAATAGGAAGTGTAAGGGCACTGGGTTATTCAATTGCCAATCCAGGGGTGACTGACAACTGAAATTAATCTTTGCAGGAGCTTGCAAAGCTTATCAAGAGCGCTAAAGTCCCAGACAAAGGTATCACTGCTTTCAACTACAAGATCGGGGGCATCGTTGACCTGATAGTAACATAGACTACCTTATCGTAGACGTCAGAGACGAAGACTGGAAGGGAGGAAATATCAAAGGCTCCCGAAATCACCCATCTCAAAGATTCCTGTTGGAGCTTGATGACATTATCGAGCAGACCAAGGATGTACCGGTAATGATCTTCCATTGTGCACTGAGTCAGGAGCGGTATGGATAGTCCACTTGATCTGGCCAATATTCACCACCTATACTCATCACCTTGGACAGTGGGCCAAAGGCAGCCAGAGTACGTTCATTCCTCGAAGCGATCGCGTCATAAAGTTGAGAACAGAATAGATTTACGAAGAAACCCGCAACACCTTGCATGACACGAATCATACTGTGTATGTGCTTCAAGGGGGCTTCGTCCAATTCGGGCAGTCGTACAAGGTAACGTTGCATCGTTGATTTCAATCGGCTTAGAACCCGTCACCAATCAGATATTTCAAGGACGATCCAGAATTAGTGGAAAACTGGAGAGAGATCATTTGGTAGAGTGATGTGTCGACGGTGATAGGAAATCTGTTCGAAAAGGGTTAGCGTTGCCCTTTATTACGCTTGTCAGCTTCCCCCGCTTTCGTCTATCGTTTTGTCTTTTTGCTTGATAAAGCGTTTCGGCATCTCTTCAACCACCTTTTGGAGCTTACGTCGCTCTGCTTCAATATTCCTCTGGCAAACAGTCCTTTGCAAGTCGATCAGTGGGAATAATTGGTGCGAATTATTCGAAGAACGTACCACGTGCCCAAGGAAATAACCATAAAAGTCCCTACTGCCCAGTGTGATCCGACGAGAAACCCTGAACAAATAACGTCGATGACAGTGATCATAAACAGTAGACAACGCACCGGCACTCATGATACGGATGACTCCTACTCCAACACCACTGGCGATACCACTCATAAGACTGTTTCGAGCACATGGCATCTCGCCAAGACGTTGAAAATCATCAACTATTGATATGCGCTAGCTTCGCCAAGTGTTCAGTTGCATAAGAGTTAATACCTGGTGCGGGCGCACCTTGAAAGCTTCTCGCGCATCTTGCCAAAAGTTACCAGTTGATTCAGCCCTATGGACGGGTCTGCGGGATCCAGAAGGTTGACTTGATACAACTTGCGTCCCGTCTCCAGAATCAGAGGACATGATTTGAACACTAAATATTACGAGGTACTTGGGTTATAGGCTTAGCTGCCACTTCGGCTCGCAGCCGATTCAGAAACCGCTGGACTTCTCACGGCTAGGTTCCGCCCAAAAAGCCAGTTCCGCCTTTTTCCTTCAGTTCACCGTCTTAGTTCACGTCTATATCATGTCTCTCCCTCAACCAGTTCCTCCTTCATGGAAGGTATGATGCATGTCGCGACCGCCGATGATATCCTGCAACTTATATTGTTTGAATACAGGACCTCGGAAAGTCCTCTAACGACTTGTTGGGGAAGGACTATCCTTTCCATGGCACATCTCTGGAGGTCAAGACCAAAACGCCATCCAATGTCGCGTTCAAAGTTGGTGGAAACCGGGATTCCAAATCTGGTGTCATCGCCGGGGACATTGAGGCCAAGTACACCGACAAGAAGAACGGCCTCGTTTTCACCGAGACGTGGACCACTTCTAACGCTCTCAAATCTCAGCTCGAGCTCGAGAACTACCTTGCCAAAGGCCTCAAGCTTGATATCGCCACGTCATTGACGCCTGACAAGGGCCAAAAGTCAGCATTGCTTAACGCGATCTACAAGCAGTCCGGTGTCCACACCCGTGGCGCATTCGATGTGTTCAAGGTTCGATGACATCGAATTCCATTGTTTCTCCATCTAATGTCAAGAGAATATTAGGGCCCCACCTTCACCACTGACACTGTCTTCGGTCGCGACGGCTTCTTGTTCGGTGCTGAGACTGCATACAACGTCACTGAGGGTAAGATTACTCGGTATGCCGCTGCCATCGGCTATAACGCTCCCGAGTACGCCGTGACTGTTCACGGTCTCAACAACCTCAAAACTTTCACTGCGAGCTACTACCACCGTGTCAGCGCTGATGTTGAGGCTGGGGCCCAAGGCCGTCTACGACACCAAGGCAACGACTTCAGGCGTTGCTCTTGAGGTCGGCACTAAGGCGTAAGTTTAGGGCCGCATGGTTGTGGTATGGTTGGTTGGAAATCTCGCTGAACCTATAACGTATAGGTACCTTGATTCGGGCTGCTTTCATTAAGGCGAAAGATCAACAACTCCGGTGTTCTCGCCCTCGTTAAGCCGCTGTAGGTCCACTGATGAGCTTTTCTGACAACATTGGCAGGCTATACACAGGCCCTCCGTCCTGGTGTTAAGGCTTCCTTCGGTCTTGCCCTGGACACTCAACGCTTGAACGAAATCAGCCCCACCGGCCCAACTCAACAAGGTACGTCCTTCATTGTACTCGTCGGCGTATTGATTGTGACCGTCCATCCTAGGTCGGAGCCAACATTGTGTTCGAGTCGTAATTCTATAGCTAGTAGTGCCGTCCTGCATAATTAATGACATTATCGCCCTACGTATTGCTACTTAGAAAAGCTGGAAACCTTTAAAAAATCCCAGATAGCCTTGCAACTCTGCTCGCTTAATTTTGGACCAGTAACGTCAGAACGGAGCAGCGTAAGCTGACATTCTCACCTACTATCAAGCATTCACTCTCAGATAATGGCGAGTTCATACTCTCAAACTGCCAAGGTGTGCAATACAATTATTGCACGACTTTCGACTCCAATGTCCTCAAGATTCTGACCATGCTGCCTTCTTGAGTTTAACGTGCGAACCTCGGAGATCAATTGATTTGCCACTAATTGAAACAAAACTTTTACATCAAAACCAATGCGACCGTAGATACAGCTGTGGCCCCTAAAACAGCATAACCAGCTCTGTATGACGCCTTGAGACTCAAAACTTCGAGAGCCACGTAAGCAGTCATCCACGAAACAAGACATAGGCGACATACATTTACCCGTGTCCCAACTCAAGTGTCGGAGACCATTCCAGAAGTGGAAAGTGAAAGGGGTGGCCAGGATAACCTTGCCGGTGTACTTCACGTAGTCCGGCAGCCCAGCAACGAACTCGACGATGTGAGCGCTATCGAAAGTGTCTGGAGCGACGAGGTATGCCAACGAAAAGCCGTATAGGACTAGATGATATCACAATTACGCCATATCTAAGTCATTCGTGAGGAATCGGGACATACGCGCGCTGAGTGCCCCGCCAGTCATACGGTTTGCAATTGAGCTAAACCATGTCAGCTGAGGCTGGTAGATTGTGTAATGAGGGCTGGAAGGGCGTTTAAGACGCTGAGCATTCAGAATTTCTTCCGAAGCTGATGGAGGCAGGGACTGTATCTGTACACCACTAGCGTGCATTCAGAAATGACAATTCAAAATCACGAAAACCATCCTTCACCGCTTGGGAATCAGGGTACGTAAAACAGTTTGGTTTCTCCCTGTAATAACTATGTAATCGCACAACTTTCAAGAATTATGATGCGCACTTACCGAATGACTGGAGCGAACGCTACTCTCCTGGTAACAGAACCAAGCCCAATGCGAGCGGACATCATGGTGAGGGTGGAAAAGTGTTTTGAGGAAACTGACGGTGATAGACGGAACCGGATCGTGGGAAATATCGGAGGGGTCGGTGTTCTGCCGCTGTCACTGGTACTCAAGCCATGTACTTACGTGTGATACAGTCAGTTTTGCTTGTGGACCGTCATGACCTCAGCACGTTCTCAAACAACCCCATCATCTCCTCATAATTTGGTCATCCCACCAGGTACTACACTCTCCTCCATCACTTTCAAATATTCAAGATCACCATTTCAGCACAGGCCACCTATCCGTGACCACACCGGGTCTTGAAAGTTCAGCATCATCGGTAACGAATCTTGATTTGAATGACGGTATTCTTGTCCATGAGGTGGACCCAGAGGTGGACACCACCCACAGCGAAGACACCACTGCAGTCGGCCAGATAGATGATGTAGCTGACGAAGAATCCAGGAAGAACCTGCGTGATCATCTACGGCGGACTTTAAGTGTTCAGAGGGAGAAATCAGGTCATTTTCATCTTGATTAGTGCATACTAGCACTTCTGAGAGTGTTGCAGATGCAAAGCGAAAAGCTGATGGATCTCTAGAAATCAGTTTCGTGTCTCCTGACACAAGTGAGTAATATCATGACATATATTTATGAGTCTCAAATTTGGCGTAGCTCTTGAAGGATATAGGCCTCGAGAGTACTTCGTACTCACGGACGCCGGAAAGCCTGTATTCACTAGGTGAGGTATTGGCCCACTCAGTGAGGTCCAATCATCATCATCACCGGTTAGTCGCCCTGCTGGGCAGGACGCTGAGAATCTATCCTCTATCATGGGTATAGTTCAAGCGCTTTTGTCAGTCTTTCTCGACGATGGCGATAAGCTACGCTGTATAAATGCTGGAAGGTTGCGGATAACCTTCCTGCTTCGGTCCCCCCTGTATTATGTCTGCGCATCATCGTGGGGTGAGCCAGAGTCCGTCGTGAGTAGTGGCCTCGTGTTTTGAAAATTCATTTGTGGCTCAATTAATTATGAACAAGGAAGACTCGCTCACACCTCGAGTATCTACATTTACAAATACTGAGCATCGTCACGGCATCCCAACTACGACGCATCTTCGAGCGTCGCACGAACTTTGACTTTGCGCAGGTTATTAGACGGTACGACAATTCATCTCTATTGTTTCTTGAAAATTATTGATCTTGTCCAAAAAAAAATAGGTTCAGAACCAGTTTATGTTTTCGTTGTTAGCTCGAATGGAACTCGACCTTGCAATGGCAACTTCTTCCTTGAATTGTCTACAGTTGGACCAAAGTTCTGCGAGCGCGTGTTGCCGAAGCACTGGTGCCAACCTCAAAGATGAAGGTCAAACCCTCTGCTACGCGTGAAAGGTCGAAGTGTTAATGGAAATTTGGTTCCAGGATACTCTCTACATCATTTTAGTTGCACGGGGTCAGGTCATAACATTGGTGCGACCTAAAAAGCATTCAATACACCCTGCTGGCACGTGCCCTTTCTTTATTTTGACGTCTGACTTTCATATATACTTGTTGCAGATATACACATTCTCGTGAATACCGTTTATTCCCCATCTATTGTCAACTCGCCTGCATCTGCATCATGGATTCCAGTTTGTCTACCGAAGTTCAACCCTTCTGGTTTTGTCAACGCGTATATCACTTTTTTACATCGCCCTGACGCAGACCATAAATCTTATCAGAGGACAGCACCCGAGAACAATGAAAGTGCAGATACCACTGGCGCCAGCCATGTAACCGAAAACAGCCAAGGTGCCACTTCACGGCACACAACCAGACTCGTAGAAGATTCTGGCATCGGACTTGTGTGCATCAGCGGCGGGGGAGAGTTCGAGACTGTGCGAGCATGGTGCGACATCGTCACTCAGGTGTGCTAGATTGTCTACCTTAAGCACATTCGTATCGCTGACATTGACCCCAGAAATTGAATGATGATGGATCCCTCGATACGCTGGCCAGAGCTGTCGACTCCGGGAAAACAAGCTACTTTGCCTCCCAGCTGGCGATACCTGGATTGCGTCACTTTGTTTATAAGTCGAGGTCGCATGTTCAGATTACCTTACCGGCTTTTGAAGAGCCTTATGATACCCTGGATGCGAAGCGAAGGTTTTTGATCCGAGAACTCTTCATTTGCAGCGTACTCAACCACAGAAAATAGGATTGTCACATTGTACCAGATCGTACATGACGCCATACATGCAAAATCTGGGCAAACAGGAAACCTCAAGCTGCAATACATTCGTACGGAGAATGAAATAGTCATGGGTTGGGTAAGTGTTTGGCTGCTCAATACCGCTTGGTCTGATCTCGTGGCTTCAGATAACACAACCGTTCGAACTATATGTGGTTTTATCGCCCCGGTTACCCAAGGCTGCGGTGATCAACGCTGCGAACGCAGTTACTCGGTGGGTGAAGAAAGAAGAAGGTCAACTTTTCCTGAGGGATGCCCCGGTCTTTTGATTGTAGTGGATGGATGTACTGATGAGACGGTTCCCCTTTCGAACGCCATTCATTCGTGTTGAGTGTTCTTCGGTTGATGCATCTTACCTCTGTGGCTCATCAGAAACATGACACCTTTATTCTAACCTCTTTATATATACGCCATGACAATGAGTTGTGATAAGAGAGACGTTACAATGCGACTGCGCGTCATCATCTCAGAAACAAATGTGGAGCCTCGAAGGGCTGGAGTGGAGTGCGCACAGAACACGTCAACAAAGTGACCTCATGAAGTGGGGCACATCTCTGAGCCAAAGTGGAGCATGAAAGGAGTACTGCGATGCGCGTTAGCCTGTCTTGCACATCTTCGTGACAAACCAAAGCTGCGGAGTGGGGTTAGCAGCGTGATAACCAGTATGTGTATTTATAATATATCTTTATAACGTGTCTTGGCTCACTCGGATTCTCCAGCTGGCGTAGGCTAACATCTTTGTGCAGTACAACTTACTCAGAAAACTGATGCATTTCTCTGGCATCATAGTGATCACACAATGGTGCTGACGAAGTGCCAGACTGGAAAACATGTATAAAATGCTGCCAGCCTTCAGAGAAACTGCAAGTCAACAACACCAGCCTTACTCAACTCTACAATTATGTCTAGTGAAAGAATTGCGCTCTGGGCACCCATTCCAAAGCCATCATCTAGGTTAGCGCGATATCGCGTATTATCCCCTCACGCCGGCGTCCATGTCTCGCCCTTGCAGCTCGGTGCCATGACCATTGGTGACAAGTGGGATAAGTTTGGGATAGGTGGTATGGATCAGACATCCTCATTCAAGCTCCTTGACGCCTTCTACGAGTCCGGGGGAAATTTCATTGACACTGCCAACAACTAGTGCGTGTTGTATCGCACACATCCCGAATTTGTTGTTGTCGCTGATATACGTCGCAACCTCTCAGCCAAGATCAAAAATCTGAAGAGATCATCGGAGAGTGGGCAGAGGAACGGGGGATCCGTGACCAGCTCGTGATCGCTACAAAGGTAACTTTGGGATTCGGTGAATGTAATCGATGCTGATGTATATATATTCAAGTACATGACCAGGTAACCAGCGCGGCAACGACTGCCATTCACCAAAAGGTAACATATACCGGCAACTAACGTCAAGTCAATGCACCTCAGCGTTGAGGGCCAGCTTGAAGAAGCTGAGGACTTCATACATCGATATTCTGTACGTGCATTGGTGGGACTGGGACACCTCCGTCGAAGAGGTCATGAACGGTCTGCATATACTAGTACAACAAGGGAAAGTGTTGTACCTCGTGAGTGTCCCCGTTTCTATGCTGACACCAACATTTGTTAACATGTATCGCTGGTAGGGTATCTCAGACTCTCCTGCTTGGGTCGTGTCCAAAGCGAACCAGTATGCTCGGGATCATGGAAAAACACCGTTTGTGATCTACCAAGGTGCTTGGAACGTCATGCTTCGGGACTTTGAACGGGATATCATACCAATGGCCCGCTCTGAAGGTAGATCAATGTTGTTCCTCGCTGTCTGGTGCCTCAACTCACAGTTCACCTCATGCATAGGTCTTGCGCTTGCCCCTTGGAACGTCCTTGCCAGGTGGAAAACTTCGAAGCGACGAAGAAGAGGGAGCGCCGCCGGCAGACGGGAGAGAAAGGCCGCACGCTTCTACAACTCCCAATTGGGAACGCAACGAGACGGAAAGAGCGATGAGCACAGCGCTCGAGAAGGTCGCTAAAGAAGTCGGTGCAAAGCACATCACAGCCTGTGGCCATTGCATATCTTATGCAGAAGACGCCCTATGTGTTCCCGATTATTGGTGGGCGAAAAGTGGAGCATTTGGAGGCCAACTTGGAGTCTCTAACGATTTCGCTGACTACCGAGCACGTGAAGTATTTGGAGAGCATCGTTCCATTCGATCCCGGCTTCCCCTCCACATTCATCGTAAGTAACATCAGCGCTCTGTTGTGTCAGATTACTGAGACCTGATCCTATTCAGGGTGATGGCAAGCAATACAATCATCTATTGAGCCATACTGCATATGTGGAAAAGCAGCCGCAGGGGCAGCCCATAGTTCCAGACGTTGATTAGTATGGCACCGCTTGTAATTTGCACATGTATTGAGGCGTACCGCACCCAGTATTTTAAGCTGATATGAAAAGACATAATGTACCTTATTCCCAAGCCGAAGCCGACGGAGCGCTTGAGCTGCTTTTGAAGTGGGAAGCTATCATGATATGCTCGGACGAGCGCTCTTGCGACCATCCGCGCAGATATTACCACTTGTGGTGGAATGCCTTTGGAACGTGTTGCACAGTCTAACATTCTTCATCCTTTTTCCTTTGAGAGGTTTGTGCGACGAAGGACCAACGCGAAGTTTACATCATTTCAGTGAACCGGAAAGCTTAGGCAATGCATGTTTAACGATGGTTGTAACAAAATCAACTCGCGAAGGTTGGTTTCACTTGGTCAGATGAGATTGTGAGTGCATTAAGTGATGAACGAGAATAACTTACAGTGAATAAACAGTGAACAAGCTTACCAGGTGAAATCAACACAGCGTACGAATGGTGTTTAAATTCTCGGCATCGCGTTTCCGTTGAACCATCTTCTCGAACGCCCTTGCGAGGAAAAGCTGAAGCCATCGCGGGGCATGAAAGTGAATTCCTTTTCATGAACAGACTGTCACACAAAAACGACGTTTCGGCGCAATGACTGGGCTTAGTTAGGATGGACCTCCGAGGATCTATACACCGCAAAAATATGGTCAGTCGGTTTCGAACCAACTCCAAGAGAAACATGTTTTGACTCTGTGGTGGCAACCACTTGGCGAAGGGCAGTTAGATGGAGGTTTGAGGAAGCCATCCATGAGTCAATGTTAAGGTGTGGTCCGATAGAAAAAAACGTATCATTCGGCAGGTTTCGAACCTGCAGTCGAAGAGAAATAGATTTTGATTCTATTGCGATAACCACTTGGATAAGACCAGTTAAGATGAACATCCGATGAAACCATCCATGAGTAAATGTCGAAATGTGTTCCAATAGGGGGAAAAAAAAAGTCGTTTGACAGATTTTGATTCTGTTGTGGAAACCACCTGGCTATAAGACCAGTTAAGATGGACCTCCCGGGAAACCATCCATGAGTGAATCTTCGAGGCATGTTCCAATAGCACAAAAGACCTTGTCATTGGCGTCGGCAGGTTTCGAACCTGCACTCAGTGGCACGTCCAAGAGACGGATTTAGATTCTGTCACGATAGCTACTTTGGCCAGGACGAAGTGGAGATGAGCTTCCAAGGACACCATCCATGAGCGAATCTTCGGAAGCTTCAAGATGTGTTCCGATACAAAAAAATCTGTTGACCGGCAAGTTTCGAACCTGCAGAATCGAAGAGAAACAGATTTCGATTCTGTTGTGGTAGCCATTAAGCTAAGACCAATTAGATGAACGTCTGACGAAACCATCCATGAGTGAATGACAAGGTGTGTTTCGAGAGAGATTGCTGGCAGGTTTCGAACCTGCGCCATCCAAGAGCAACAGATTTCGATTCTATTGTAGTTCACTTTGGCTAGTAGTACGCTTCGCAATATTATGAGATGAACCTCCGAAGGAGTGAACGTCAAGGTATGATAAGACATTCCTGTACCCTAGAAGAGGGTTGGCAGGTCTCCCAGGAAATTTCTGTCGACTCGATCATGACGGCCCCCGGCCCGTCAGAGCGTCAGCCACAACCTTTTTTGGATATGAGCTTTGTCATCATAATTCGGGCTCTGTGAGTTTAGTTCGGCCCCTCTTTATATTTCTACCCCATTTTCTTTTTAGTTGCCATCTTTGTGATCTTTGATCTTTCTGCTTCTTAAGAAGAGTATTCAGAATATAGATCACTTGGAATTCGAACTAAATCGTTGGAACTATGATCGGACTTTTTAAAATAAAACAGTACAAGCGATCCGCTCGCCTGCGGACGGTTCAGTCATATCGTGTCCGGATTGGTTTACGCGCTGGTTCCTTGGCAGCCGTCGTCGAACGTCGTCGCATATGCAGGCCGTAAAGGAAATAGTTGTAAAAAGAGCAAGCCGACGCCATAACCATGAGGTCGAAAAATGCGGATGAGTGAAACAGGAGCTAACTGCTCTGACGCTCGTCGCGGCGGCAACCGTGCGAAAATTTTAGAAAACGAAGGAGCTGAGGTGTACATGCCTGCGCCAAAGTGGAGCAGAAGAGGGGTTCGGGCGGAGCCCGCACATGGCGACGACACAAATTGGTCCCGCGGAGCAGAAGAGGGGCGCGTGGGGTGCGCACATGACGATGGCACGATTTGGTGAACAGTAGAGGGCTTCGGTGGAGCGCGCAGACGGCGTCGATACCAATTGGTTCCGTGGCATCAAACGCTCCGTCCTATTTCGGGTCGGGATATCTCTCATGTCGAATATTGGAAGACACTTGGCCAGGGTCGGTGAGTGATTGTCATGAACCATGAATAGAGTGTTTTTGCTAAGGATTTTTCGAGATTTTCCAATGTAAATTGATGCTCCACTTGATGTCACGGTAGTGTAAGTGTGAGAATCAATGTGTTGAAGTACCAAATCAATGAAAGAACGTTGTAATTGACTGTTCCGTCCATCGAGTCTGTTACCGCTACTACTTGTATATCCTGTTGAGCATGAACCGACAACAACATGAACCTGGCGATGTAGTAGAGCTGAGCACACACGGTGCACGTCATATAGAAGGTGTTAACTGCTGCGTACATCATGTGTTGTCACCGTCGCGCGGGGGAACATCCTCAGGCTTGGGCGGCTAGCGAAAAATTCAGGTTCTGAAAATTAACTGAGCATCTTCCGACTCCACTGGTCAAGGTTTGGTATGAACTCAACGGGTCTCAAGTTAATAAAATCCTTCAAAAAATCCTTAGCAAAAACACTCGTGATTCTCAACTAACCTATGACCGACCACTATGTCTTCAAGGCGCAAAGTACAACCTGCTATGGCTTCGGATCGGATGAGTGCCACCCTGATCATATCGACGAGGCACGATTGAAGCAAGACATAGACCGTGACGTCTGGGACGAGGGCGAAGAACTATCCGGGCCTGGTGGCATCCAAGAACCAGCAGCGAAGAAATCAAAGCAAATACCAGTTGCAACGACAAGGTGGTTGAAATTTCTACCTAGACATCGCTATCTCGCTTTAACGAGCTGAAGGGTCGAGTCTACTCCTGTATGACTATTGGTGAAGCACACCATTGGACATATACAAATGGACAACGGGGTAACACAAAAACCTGATTTGTGAAAGGTATGGTCCTTGTCATCGGAGCTCACTGCACATAATGCCATCATTTAAGTTTGAAGCCAACTTGAAGAAGCACATAAGCCGCAATCATTTTCATACGATTCAGTGGATGCTATAGAATATCAGGTAAGATATCACGACGGCTACCTGATGGTATGCCACTTATCGCAGTGTGTCTTCAGCTAAGTTTTTTTATTTAAGAAGCTGCATTTAGTGTCACCAGACTAAAGCAAGTTCACAACGGCAGTACATGAACAACCCCGCTTCTCTCAGTGGTCATGAGATGTCTGATTCAAATCCGACTCGGGCTTTGATCCATTAAAATAAATCCATCCGTTTGTTGCTGATGACATTGTCAGTGGAGACCACGTACGCAATTTTACACATACGTCAGAGAAATCCTATAACGGACGCCTGGAAGATAGAAGCTGAAGCTAGCATGTGATGGTGTTTGAGGTCCCACCAACATAGATATAGCTGGCAGGATCTGACCGTCCTTCGCATTAACTTGATTAAAATATCCATTCACAATACACGCCTCGAGACCATTTGAGTAGTATCCTGGGCCTGTGGATGTAGTGCTCCCTGCGGCGGCACGGCAAAGAGGATTGTGAATCCGTTGATCGGACTGCAGACGTGCCAGGATCTGAAGAACAACTCTACCCAGGAAATGCAACCAGCTCTGGGGGGTGATCTGAACAGTCTATTTTCACCAATTCTGCATAGAAACGTTCTATGGGAGGGCAAACAGTCTTTCTATGCAACAAAGTAATACCCACTGTATCAGTATGACCTAACAGTCCGTTTCATTGGCTGCGATGGGTAGCCAGTAGGGCAGCACAGGCTATGTTCTGCGACAGAGACTCACTTCCCGTGCCTAGACTGCACAGCGGGTCGGCGAGACAGGCGGTGACTATGCATTTCCCAATGACTATGATGGCGAACACGGTGAACCCTTGTTGTCCGAAAGTGTGACAGATCGGGTCAATGAAATCTAGGATGTGGGATTACAGAATGATGGAACTCGTATTAAGGTTCAACTTTGTGTGAATAATAGGTCACCACGTACGAAAATGCCTACGCATAGGATATGCGAGTAAAGAGCTAATTAGAGAAATGCATCAAGAAGATTCAGAATCAACCCCATGAACCTAGTCCAGTGATGGACTTCTATGCTATAGGGACACAGCAATAAAAATATCAATTTCTCATCACGTCGCAACCTGTCACAATGGGTGTGCAGAGGTATGGAGTCAATGATGATGCAGTGGCCAGTGCTAGTAGCAAGGCTACCATCGATGGGCAGTGGGGCACTCGTACCAAGAGTGCCGAAGTACTGACGAAACTCCGATGTGTCATAGAGGCTGCCAGTGCAGTGGTTCATGGGCGTTTGTTGTGATACATACCGTAAGCTATATCGAAGCCACTTCGCAAAAATAGTCATGGCTCTGATATCATGATGCAGATGACGACAACAGAAAATTAGGACACTTCGGATCGTGTGCGTGAGGCCCGGTGTGGCATTTGGACAACCTAGCATCCTAACCATACACGAAACTCTGGCTCGTCTGTAGGAAACGGGGATTTATGTGACCTGGGTCCTGAATATTGGTCCTTGAAGTGTGTAGCATACCGTACGCCGCGGAGTTGAAATCAATATTATGGTGTTTATATTTTAAACCCCGATATACCTTGAACAAGCTGCACACTGCACAGTGCAAGCCAAGTAAGTAGATTGCGGGACCGTCAACCTACCCCTGACCCTGATCAGCTTATATTATAGTTCATTACCTGTTGGATTTAATTTCGCTGGTGGCCAACTCAAGTTTGACCACAACGTTCTACAGCCTTTCCTGTGCGTGACATTCGCAAGTGAGCCTCCGAGGAACAAGTCCCTTTCACCCGAATCAGAAATAGTTTCGTGACCTCATCAGTCCTTGTCATGCACTGATAGAAGAATTATTTTGCTGTTGGTACGTTTTGAGCGCATCACATGTTTTGAATTTATCCCTCTTTTAGCACCCTTCGTGCAATGTTTAGCTATCACCGCATCTTCCGTCAATTCTTACTGTCCCATATCAGGGTTTCCGGTCAAAGATTGGTGACCATGCCCATTTCGCAGCATGCTGTTACTTGCCAATTCACACTGTTTGTGACAAAAATTGTGGCTTCATTTTTGGTATACACTTCCAATAAAACGCTAGCGCGCTCACGGCCCAAGACTTCTGGTATAAAGAGATCCATAAAGTGTTTAAACAGGTATCATCGTCTCCCATTTCTAAGTCGTCTAATCATTACTTGCAATGGCTATTCTCTCTGCTTTGATTCTAGCCGCTATCGTGACCGTGGCTCAAGCCCAGTCTCTCACTGTTGTCAACTCTTGCACCGAATCTGTCTTCTTGAACACGGGCACCAGCTATGGTACTATCAACAACGATGTCACCGTCGCTGCAGGCCAGAGTGCAAACCTAGGCATTAGCTCTGACTGGGACGGCGCTATCAACGTCGGTAAGTGTGTAACTCCCCTCCTCAGCTTATCACTGACCACACTATTAGGTACTGGATGCAACAGCGATGGTTCTACGTGTACTACCGGTGGCCCTACCTGGGACGGTGTCACTCCCTTCAGCAGAGCCGAATTCAACTTTGTAGGTCCCGGTCGCAGGCATTGAAATAACTTCTGACTTTAAAAAAATGCAGTACGCAACTGCCGGAAGTGTGACATATGATATCTCGCTCATCTATGGATATAACGTTGGAATGGAGATTTCCTCCGGTGATTCGAGCTGCGATAATTTCGCTTGCACAATCTCATCTGGCTGTGTGAGTACTAATCTATCCGTATTGACATCATGCATGTTTATATTGTTTCAGCCCGTTCCTGGACCTGGAACCGACACGTGCTACTCCCCGTGCTGCTCCTCTGCGAGCGCGTGCAGCGGTGGCGCCCTTCCCGCTAGTGGAGGAGGCTGTACTAACAACGAGGGCCCTGGCCCCAACAGTGCTTTCTACTATGACACTTGTTATAATGCCTATGCATTCCCTGACAATGACGGCTCTAGTATGTGTTTCCATCTTACTGCCATCGGTATAGCGGACTGATAATTATCGTTCAGATGGCTATACTCCTGCTGACTTGGTCGTTTATACTTGCGGCAACACCGATATCACTCTTACTCTGTGCTCTGGCACAACTTCTGACTACACCGACTAAATATAGGCAGTGAATGACCGTTTATGTTGTAGTTTGGAGCTGTCGTATTCATTCGATATAACGTTTTTTGGTACCAATCTTGCCAGTATTTTTTGCGAGTAGTAAAGTGTACTTCAAGTTATGAATAGAATCTGTTTTTTGCGGCGTTGTGACACTCTCGCATGCCGGTGGAACCCTGCTCATTTTCTTGACCGACGATCGGCGAGAAGATCGGACTATCAATAGTAATCATCTCAATTTACAGGCTCATTGGCGCTCACTGACACTGCTTGTACTTTCACAACGACCATGCTTCCTGTACCCTAGAAGAGGTCCACTCCGGCCCGTCAGCGCGTCAGCCACAACCTTTTTTGGATATGAGCTTTGTCATCATGATTCGAACGAACTCGTTGTTACTCCTCGCAATAATTATTCCTATATTATGAAGACTATCTGCCTTATCATAATTTTCTCTGTCATGCCCTAAGTTTGCCTGGGAGGTTTTCCCTGATGCCTGGTCAAAATAAAGCGTCTGTAGTACGACATCATGCATCATGAAATTGAGTCACATAGGATCAACACGCAAAATGAAATAAAAAGACTAGCTCGATGGACGCAATCTGCCATTGTGTCGGATTGCTGAGACCTGATCCCATTCAGAGTGATGGCAAGCCATACAATCATCTATTGCGCCATACTGCATATGTGGAAAAGTAGCCGCAGGAGCAGCACATAGTTCCCGACGTTGATTAGTACGGCACCGGTTGTAATTTGCACGTCGTGTTGAGGCACACCGCGCCCCAGTATATTAATTTTAAGCTGATATGAAAAGACACAATGCGTGTGTACCTTATTCCGAAGCCGACGACTCGATGTACAGCGCTTGAGCAGCTTTTGAACTGGGAAGCCATATGCTCGGACGACCGCTCTTGCGGCCGTCCCCGCAGATACCGCCGCTTGTTGTGGAATGCCTTCGGAACGTGTTGCACACTAACACTCTTCATCCAAATTATAGTACTAGATAAAGGCTGAGCTTCGCCTGCAGGAATCTTGCCCCACAAGCACTAATGTCGTGTACTTACTATCATTTAGAGAATGCATCAAAGGAATACCAACTGTACATGCACATTGCAGTGCATGTTTAATGGTGGTCATAACACAATTAACTCGCAAAGGTTGGCTTCACTTGGTCAGATGAGATTGTGAGCGCATTAAGAAATTGAGAGCGATGAACAAGGATAGCTTACAGTGAATAAACAGCGAACAAGCTTGATGGAATCAACACCTACAGTGTATGAATGGTGTTTAAGTTCTCGGCATCGCATTCTCGTTTGAACCATCTTCTCGAACGCCCGTAAGTTATGGATGATAACTGGAAAACTTTCTGAAGAAAAACCGCGGGGCATGAAAGTGAATTCCTTTTCATGGAGAGAGTGCTGTCACATGAAAAAAGAGATTTCGGCGCAATGACTGGGCTTGGTTAAGATGGACCTCCGAGGATCTATACAACGCAAAAATATTGTCAGTAGGTTTCGAACCAACTCCAAGAGAAACAGATTTTGACTCTGTTCTGGTAACCACTTGGCTAAAACTAGTTAGATAGACCTCTGAGGAAACAATTCATGAGTCAATTTTAAGGTGTGTTCTGACAGAAAAAGGCCTGTTATTCGGCAGGTTTCGAACCTGGGCAATCGAAGAGAGACAGATTTGAATTCTGTTGCAGTGACCACTTGGCTAAGACCAGTTAAGATGAACGATCCGACGAAACCATCCATGAGTGAATGTCGAAGTGTGTTCAGGGGAAAAAAACCTTGTCATCGACAGGCTTGACAGATTGATTCTGTTGTGGAAAGCACCTGGCTATAAGACCAGTTACATAAGATGGACCTCCAAGGAAACCATCCATGAATGAACCTTCAAGGCGTGTTCCGATAGCAAAAAAAACCTTGTCATCGGCAGGTTTCGAACCTGCGCTCAGTGGCACGGTCCCAAAGACAGATTTAGATTTTGTCGTGGTAAGCACTTCAAAGTGGCCAGGACGATGCATCGATGAACCTCCAAGGAAACCATCCATGAGCGAATCTTCAAGGCGTGTTCCGATAGAAAAAACATTGCAGGTTCGAAACTGTTAGTCGGCAAGTTTCGAACCTGCACAGTCCAAGAGAAACAGATTTCGATTCTGCTATGGAAACCACTTAGCTAAGACCAGTTAGACGAACCTCCGACGATACCATCCATGAGTGAATGTTGAGGTGTGTTCCGAGAGAGAGAAAAAGCTTGCCGGCAGGTTTCGAACCTGCGCAATCCAAAAGAAACAGATTTCGACTCCGTTGTGGTAATCACTTTGGCTAGCATGAATCTCTGAAGAACTGTCCATGAGTGAACGTCAAGGTGTTCCGAGACCAGTTGAGATGGACCTCCAAGGAAACCATCCATGAGTGAACATTTAAGGCATCCAATGGCACAAAAAACCTTGTTATCGGTGACGGCAGGTTTCGAACCTGCACTGGCGCAGTCCAAGAGACGGATTTAGATTCTGTCTCGGTAACCACTTTGGCCAGGGCGGAGTTGACATCACCCTCCGAGGAAACTATCCATGAGCGAATCTTCAAGGTGTATTCCAATAGAAAAAAATCTGGTAATCGGCAAGTTTCGAACCTGCAGAGTCCAAGAGAAACTGATTTCAATTCTGTTATCGTGACCACTTAGCTACTAAGACTAGTTAGATGAACCTCGGACGTAACCATCCATGAGTGATATCAAGGCGTGTTCCGAGAGAGAGAAACAGCTTGCCGGCGGGTTTCGAACCTGCGCAAGCCAAGAGAAACAGATTTCGACTTTGTTGTGGTTCGATCTGGCTAGTATGCAAGATCAGATGAACCTCTGAAGAACTGACCATGAGTGAACGTTAGGTTTTGAACCCGCACCACCCAAGATTTCTAATCTGTTTTGGTGCCAGTTGGCTATGACTACTCACTAAGATAGACCTTGAAGAATTCATCTATGAGTGCCAGTGAATGTTCAAGGCGCGATGATAAAAGGAAAAAGATTGTTGAGCAGGTTTTTAATAAACCTGCAACAGATTTCTGGCTAACACTGATCAAGATAGACGTCTGTAGTACGACATCATACATTGACAGTGGAATCACACAAGATTAGCAATCATTTGCCAACGCAAAATGAAATGCTCGACGCACACAAAGCCATGGCGGCGGAAAAAGCGAGTCGGGCCCGGGTTGGCGCCGGCGCCGTATTTGCTAAAAGCTCACGGGGTTATAAAGTTGGATCGTGGTAGTACAGCCATAATTACGGGCTGATATCGACCTTGTAGTACAAGGCAATCAGAAGTTCAGAACATAGCGATCAACAGAATTAAAGCTGTGTTGTTCTGTCGTCAAGTTAATTTTCCTGTTTGCGTTGACATCCCCGAGTTAGCGTGACGTCGGTCGCCGTCACATCCATGAAAATCTTCCTTTTTAGGACCAACTCAGGATAAACCAATGTTTTCATCTCGAGCTCTAGTCCGTTGCCGTCCTGTTTTCTCAAGCTCGATGTTCAGGATTTCGTTGTTCAAGGTTCCATTGTCTTCTATTCAAAATGCTCAGAGCAGAACAGTTGCTACAACAGTGAGATGTGACGTTCCCCGGAGAGCCGACATTCCAAGTCCAAGAGGTCTGATTGTCAAATACTTGCTTCTACTTGTTATACTTACCAGCTTAGCGTCAGGCAAGATATCTACACCGCAAGACTTTCTTAAAGCCATTGGTCGTTCTTCAGAGACCAAAATATCTATAGACAGCTGGGACGCGTTCTGGCGCACATCAGGATGGGATATGAAGAATGCTGGGTTGAGCATCCAAGACCGGAGGTCCGTAACTCTTCCCTTATGTTGTTCCTTGCCAGTGCATCATATACAAATGTAGGTATATTCTTTGGTGCATGGAAAAGTTCAGGCAGAACCAACCGATAGAAGGGTTCGCCCATGAGGAGAGACCCAAGAAGAAAATACGGGGGTACGTACAGCTTTAATTTCCAATGAAACCTGTCCTTTGTCTGATTTATTGTTGATTAGTCGAGGTCCCGCTGTTCAATTCGGAAAGCGCATTCGCTCGCGGAGAGATCGGTAGTTCCGTACCGTACTCCCGCCCAGATATTTTCTTCATTACACGCATATTCTGAATTATTTGACGACCTTTGTTCAAATCGCGTTCAAATCGCTGTCAGCAGATCGGTGACTCTCTCGGGTAAAGTCTAAGGCCAGAGTTACCCTTTGTTGGTCCAGACAATTTCTCACGAGGCATACTGGAAGTCTTGGGCGCTGGGAGCTTTCTCGACCCCACGTTGCAGTGCACGCGTTCAGAATTCAAGCCCAGATAGGTTTTGATCGATTGTCATTGTTCACTTGCTGTGTAGGATACAGGGGTCCCGCCTGATTGAACTACACCCTAATATCGACGATCAAGTACACTTGTGTGAGTGTGCATGATATCTGTTCAACCTCCGGAATCAAATTCGGGGCTATGCCCTTTGTTTTGCTTTCAACGACAATTGTGAGGAACCCACGTGGCAACCAGGGCGTACCACACTGGATCATCACATTCCCACCGTGGTTGAACATCTTATCTTGATCTAGCCGAGCGTCAATTTTTGAGGACCCTTTTGTTCTGCTCCGAGAACCGAGGGACTGGGCACTAGGGGTCTATATTCGGGCAATCCCTGGAGCGAGGCTGCCTCGATGTGACATACATCGAGGGTTGAAGGTCGGAGTTATTTGAAAGAACAAAACGAGGTTCGGTAAGCCGAAGTTGAGACATGAAAGAAAGAAATCTATATAACGCGTCCAAGTTAACATCCAGTGCAAATCTACCTTACCCTAATCCCTGCACACAAGTTCACTTCGCCATGGCGTCCACTATCATCTATCGTCGTCAGTCTATGGCGACTCTCTACGAGAAACTTCGCGCTCAAGACGGGGAAGATCATATGGCTTGGCTTGCCGAAGTTACCGCCGAGTTCGACACAGAAGAACTTGTTCCTTCTGTCCCAAGTCCACCTTCAGTTATTTCATCTGGTTCATCTTCAGCCTCCTCTTCACCTCAAAACTCAATAACTTCTTTGGACTCTAATGATCAATCTGAAGGCGAATCCGACTCCGCCTCTGATTCAGACTCGGAGATCGAACACATTGATAATCCAGATGGGATTCTCTTTCAGAGTTATGACCCTATCCAATATGACCCCTCAGACTTGTATGTTTTGGGTCTATGTCATGACGAGTCATTCATCTTATGCTCGTTCACAGTCTGGCCCACAATCTCCATCCAGTCACGGATCTCCCTTATATCCCTCCCGTCGAGCTCGACTATAATCCTCCCGTTGAGTTCGACTATAATCCTCCACTCAACTTCGAGTGCGACGCGGAGTCCCAAGCCGCGCTTACAATGGAACCCACTCCCCCATCTTTCTTTGTTCCCCAGCTGGCTCCGCAACCCATGTTCCCTACAGTAAACAACTCCTTGCCATTTATGACGCGCTCCACTCGTTCCTTCCTCAAGCGTAACGTTTCTATTGCGCTCCACGATTTGGGGGAGGATGCCGACGGACAGAGTGACGCAGACGAGACGGATGACGAATATGTTCCGTCATCTTCGCGTAATCCGAAAAAACGTCGTCGCTCCACGCGTCATTCCAGTGTGTCTTCCCATGTCCCCACTTATACCACGACCCAATACGTATCGCCTCCCGCAAAACGACTTCGCGCTGCCCCCCTCCCACGAAACGCGCAAGCCGTCCCTGGCAGTGCTCCCAACTTTGCAAACAAATCTAACCCCTGGGCATGTCCCTATTGCAAGTGGGTTCAGCGCAATCATCGTACACCTGACCTTAAACGACATATCCGCACGCATACGCGTTTCGAAAGACCTGCGCAGTGGGTCTGCTGCGGTATACCAGCTGAATCGGCTGCATTGTACAACGTTCCGCACAACGCGACTCCCTACATTCACAACGGCAAACAAATGATCGGAGGATGCGGGAAGGAGTTCAGCAGGCGGGACGCGCTCAAGCGTCATCTGGGCAACGACCATATCTCTTGTGTGGGAGATATCGACGCGTTCGCTAATGTCTACGATGATTAATTACGAACTTATGAAATGATCGGCTTTGTGATGGCTATCAAGATAATCTGATAGGTGAGATCGATGCCCGTTTTTGTTGTGAAACAGCTCGCTCATGGTTCTGCACAGCATTTTCTTACATGTATCATCAAGTACCTTATCATACCCTGGACACAGCGCTTATCTCTCTTATATATGGAACTCAAGTGTCACCCTTCTACCCCAGCTACCATTGAACCATCTTTCTGTACATTGCTTGTCGCATTTTCTTAACTTCGTCAGGATGCTGGTATTGTTATGTATGTACTTCCCGTAGAACAACCATCAATCACTCTCCTACTATATGGTTGTCAGACATTTTGACGTCAAGCACTAGTTCCATTTTCTCCGTCAATTATGAGATGCTAGCAGCAAAGTACTGGTGAACGAATTCGAGAAGTGGTAAGGGATGCAGTGGGTTGAGTATTACATAAATAACAAGATGATATCAACCCCGTATCTGTCTCAAACGCGGTGGTCGCTAGACGTCTGAGTCAATGGAAGGGTTTGCTCCATCTCGGTCCGCCGCGTAACAAAGTACGAGGAGCATCATCGCGCTCTGTCATGGGAATGGCCGAAGCCTGCAAAGCGCGGTGAGCTGGGAACCTGGGTCACAATCACTGGGCGTGCGCCGTCAATAGTCATCGGCAGTTACAATCATTCTCGTGGTTGGTTTAATTGCATAGTCCATGGAAGCACACTCCTGCCCCTGAAAACCCTGGTTATCGTGCCCACTTTATGCCGGAGAGCCTTGGGTGCTAGTAGATACATCTGAGTCGGAGCATGGGTCCGCTAATGGCTGTGGATAGAGCGTGAAGACCATGAAAGAATACCAGGGTCGTATGGAGTGATCCACCGTCCAGCCTTTTCTGGGCGCTTTGACGTTCTCTGCATTCAGGAAGTCAGACAGCACATTCAGAACTGCTGCGAGGACGCACCTCAGAAGTAGGATTTACTGTCTATGGAAGCCAAGGAGGTCAGTACCGATTTAATTATTGTTGTACAATGGGTCAAACATACTGCCATCAGGTAAGCCCTCCGAATGTTGATCGTGGAGACCCATTGTTTGGAACTACAAGCACTATGGTGAGAAGTTGATTCAGAAGAGTCATTTTAAAAGAAGTTTTATACTGGGGAAACGCCGATTGGGTCGGCCAAAACCTCGCTTGGCCTACTCCACCATCGTAGCTGCTGCGATGCACACTACTACGCTCATTTCAGGTGCCAACACTCATGACAGTAGAGACTTGCATTCCCAATAGCGTTCACATAAGAAAGAGCCGCATTTCAGTAGACTCCGTACTGGACGAACTGAACATTTATTCTGAGAAAAGACCAACGTACATCATCTGCAACATATGCAACACATGGGAAACTGAACGTGTTGAATCTGGATGGATGTCTAAGGAGCGAACAGTGGCATTAGTTTACAACCAAGAAGCTCAGTACATCCATACCTGTACATGGAGGAGCTACGCGCGCTCTGGAGCATTTTTCGCATCCAATTTCTGCCCCTGTATCCAAATGCCACGCCTATTCCGTTCGTCTCCAATGCACCACCACTTCTCCAGTATACCCAATGTAATACCTGACTGTGGCTCAAAGAAATCGAGCGCACCCACTCCCTTGTCACTTTCTTTGTACAGCTCGACTGCAACATTATTCGTTTAGGTGTCATTTCTTGTAATAGTCGTCCAACTCACTGCATTGGGCGTCAAAAGGGGCGCCAACTTGGAAGACTCCACATGAAAGGCCGAGTGCAGTGGCCCCTCCCCTGGTAGCCAAATACAACGCATCTTTCCAATCGATTGCGAGAGACTGTCCATCACCGCTCAGTTTTCTTGTACCGTCTCTGATCCTGGAGACAACGACGGCCTGCCGCATGCTGTTCATGATATCTATGCTATATCCACCAGCGATATCCGTGCCAAGACCGACGGGTACGCCGAGGTTCAACGCTTCACGGAGCGGGAACGGTTTTTCTGAAAAATACGAGTTCGAGAGAGGACAGTGTGCCACTGCGGAACAGCTGCCAGCCATACGTGACAGCATGTCTGTATCCAAGAATGTACAGTGGGCTTGAACGGTTTTCTCTGTGAGCAAACTGAACTAGGATTTGAACGTTATCAGCCCAATATTCATTGAACATGAGGATCACTCACGTTGTCAAAAACGTCGATGTCATCTTTGTGGCGTTCACTCAAAACCCACTGCACTGCTTCGTGAGCCTCCGCCAGGTGACTTTGGATTCGTACTCCTTTGTCACGAGCGAGTTTTCCGAGCCCTTGCAAAAGTTCATCCGAGCACGTTGGTACAAACCGCGGTGTGATCACAGGTTCAACGAGACGTCTGTGTGGTTCGTAAGATGAAACCAAGTCACGACAGCCGTCGATGAATTCCTCGGCAGAGTGTAATGAAGATTGAGCGGAAGGCTCCACATAGGAGGGCCGGGATGAGATATCCATTGACAACTTCCCCACAAGCGCTCGTATACCGATTGTTTGCATGGCTTCTGCAAGGATTAGACTGTGATTCTTTCAAATCAGCACGTCCGTTTGCGACATGATGTTCCCGTTAAGTTTGCGCTTACTTCGCTGTGTTGTTAATCGTCCCGAACAACAGAACCGCGCCAGTTCCGGCGTCTCTTAGGCGTTCTGCGAGACGTACATAAACTACCTTTGCTAACCCTGGTTGGCTGTCCAAGCTTTCTTCAGACTTGAATCCATACTCATTTAGCCACTGCATCAGAGGAAGATGGAGACCAGTTCCCTGGAACAAGAACTGGGGCGCATGGAGATGCAGATCGCAGAATGTCGGAAGCAGAAAACCTCCTGATGGTATGACTGTGATAGGTATGTCGATTTTTGCCAGAAATTCCTCAGAGGCTTCGGAGTCAGCAGGTCCTACATAAATTATGAAACCTTGGTGATCCACAACTAAGGTATGCACAGATGGATTAGTATGTCTCAAGGATCGTACGATGGAACATGAAATCCTCACGTAAAATATGATCTTCAAGAACTTCCAGTTGCCCCAATGAAGGGCAGTGAACCAGAGTACCTTTGAAAGCGCTCGCAATCGTCATGGTAGTCGACAATAATGATGATGCTCGTGACTATTCCGATGTACTGGTCTGAAGATGATAAGATCTTGACCCTTCGTATTACCCATTGCGGCAATTAACCGGAACCACGTGTATAATGCTCAACATGAAATGGTCCACGGGGAGTTCCGTTCACGTCTCAGAGCTCTCTACTCTACAAGCGCTGTTTCGCAACCAATCTATCGTTACATCCTCCAGATGGTCATCGAAGTCTCCAAATTTCTCGTGAAGATGATGGTCGCGAACAAGGGCAATTGCGCGCGAAGGTGAATCAGCTTTAGCCAACAAGAAATTTGATCCCGTTGTAAATGCAGGAGTTTGCGCTATGCATGGCCGCCAGAATGATGTGGAAGGCTGTGGTAGATAGGGCTATCGCGTGTCAGACAGTTATGAGTTCATGATAATGGCTTAAACATACGAGTAAAGCTGGATCCCCTGTTCCCAACTTGTCGCCGTCAATCTTGAAACGAGAATTAGATAGCTTCCCAGTTGTGGTTTATTCATCTACTCACGACAAATGCCACTGCATCGTTAAATTGATCACGAATTTTCTGCGCAACCCGCTCGCCGACAGGCGCAAGAGCGGTGTCATCTAGCCTCTCGCTTGCTTGATAGTACCCCACTAGAGTCATCTCTCGTGCTTCAGCATGTCCCTTCGCCTAGAAGCATTACTGTCCATTAGTATCATGACGAAGGTTGCGTTGAAATAGAATGACTGACGTACCAAATCAAGTCCGATCTCCATCATAGGGCTGAGACTTGTCCAGTGATGGAGCAGTGGGATGACATCCTCTATCACAACCACGTCCGAGGCTTGTCTACCGAGTAGAACACCGTTCACTGGTAGGTGGGGATGTTTCGCCGCATGAAAGAAGATCTTAAGGTACGCGTTTTCAGAAAGAGAGTAGGACACCATCGTGACGACGTATATTGAACGTGTTTTGAGAGTTCTACCGAGATTTATAATTGATGTGACGTGTCGCTGGACGCAATCAGAAACTCGAGCGACGACCGTGTCTGCTAGTACTTACTAGTAAGTGCTTCAATAAAAGTACAGTGGAAAGGAAACGTGGGAGAAGTTCGCCATTCCATTACGCTCCCTCACAAAATCACACTCTATACCATCATGACGTCCAATAGCCCGGAGATATTCACCGCGACCTCAGCGTATTCTTTAGCTGGGGTGGCTGCTATGGCCTTCGTTGCCATCACTGGCGCGAAGGTTTTACTGCCGAAGAACGCGCGCTGGCAGGATTCATTTACCTTCATCTGGCTGGTACGTCAATCTACTTGCACATCCGGCCTTATTTGACCGTGACAACGTCGACAGGCATTTGATGCATTGATTCACTTCTCTTTTGAGGGATCATTCCTATATCTCTCGACCTTTGGCAGGACCGTGAACTCCAGCGTGGGGCCATTTGCTGAACTGTGTGAGTGATCTAAGCTTAATGCCGGTCTTCAATCCTTTAACCAGACTCGGATAATTGCTTATCTAGGGAAGGAGTATACCCGTGCGGATGCACGATGGGGTGTTTCTGATCCTACTGTCGTCTCCCTTGAGATTTTGACGGTCCTAGGTGCGGCACCTATGTGTTGCTATATTATAAGGCAAATTGTTAAGGACGACCCTGCCCGTCACTATTGGATCATCGTCCTGAGCACCGCTGAGCTGTATGGCGGGTATGTATGTCGTCGCAAGTGACCTTGAAGTTAGTGACCCTCTTTCCAGATGGATGACGTTCTGTCCGGAATGGTTGACGGGAAGCCCAAGTTTGGATACTTCTAACCCGCTTTACCTCTGGGTTTATCTTGTCGTGAGCATGCCCCATACTTTGACTATAATTGTCCCAACTGATCTTCACCGCGACAGTTCATGAACGTCATGTAAGTGTAAACAAGATTTTATCGTTGTCAATTCTGATGGTTCATTACAGCTGGGTGGTCATTCCAGTCTGGCTGATGTGGGATTCGTATGGACACATTGCTGGCTCACTGCGCCGCACTCAGGCAGTCACGAAGACCAAAAAGAACTAAATCCTCAACGTTATTAATATACTCAGTTGGTGCCTATGTCGTCCATACCTTATATTTATGCTCTTGTGTGGTCTACCTCAGATTGCTTCCCTATTGACATTAAGTCAGATGATCATAAAAAGTAGTCGTGCGTTGAAATACGATTCGCGAACCAAGCACGATGTAAGTAACTAATGGTCCATATAACGTGTACTGAAGCGATCTAGCTCTAGTTTTAGAAGGGAAAGAAATTTGATTCTGCTTCAGCAGAATCAAGTGCAAAATCAAGGGTAGGGCATCAAGTCCGTGACGAAGTAAAAGAAATAAAGCTAAGTCCATGTGCATATTAAGTCCAATGTCCATCCTGAGAGCCGAGTGCGACCGGGATTAAGTCCCGGGACACAAGCTTAGACGATGGCAAACTCTGGGGAAGCATTTCCGGAGTCACCGAACACTGAAAAAAAAAATGTAAGAAATACACCCAACCAAATGACAAGTGATACATACAGACAACGATAGCATTGCCGCGAACCGTGGCATTCTCAGGAACAGTGACTGTAACTTCACCGTTAATGATGGGGAAATTCACAGCAAGGGGATGCTCTATATTGCATTTCAACAACAGCATTCAGGACATGGTTACGAAATGAACGTACTGATGTCCAGGTTCTCCGAATTGTTTGCCATATATCCCAACAACAGGAGACCAGTAGAATTCAGCTTCTCCTCAGGGATGTTATCAGTCTCCCAGGTCACGGTCTGCGTGGAACCACGGGGCCAAATTGTGAACTGAGTGGGACAGAGGATAGTAGGGCTCCAGGCGAGCAGCTCAACGGGATGGACGGGTGCAGCAGTAGCAAATGCCAACAAAAAGGCAGAAAAAATAGAGAACATCGTCATGGTGCTGAACATTTTTTAATTCTAGAAGTCGTGAAAAGGAGTGCGATGTGCTGGGCGGGCGGTTGGCCTGGTTTAAGGCTTGTACTTAAATTTAACGTGTCGAAAGAGAAAACGGGAGGACTGAGTAGTAGAGATTGAACTTGAGGCGGAGTATTTATATGTGCGCCGAGAGGCTTGGCTCTATTTGCTGTAGCCACCGTGTGGGTCCGATTGAAACATACATATGGTCGAAGACGTAAGGAAGATCTTGTTAAGAAGCCGCATGCAACAAGACCTCTGCAGGCAGAATGCTAGGGACCGATTATTCTTCAAAACACTCCATGCAAACCTGGCACCTATGATACTATGAAGAAGTCCTCAGGCTGACATTCAAGCTCTTTTCTTCCTATCGATTGAGCCAGCCGCGGTACGGAACGGTGGCGGTTGCTAGCGGCTGGGGCTATAGTCAGGCCATAGCGTTATTTGAACAATTCACCCGTAGACAGACCAAATAGAAGGAAGATAATCGTTCCACATCACACTTCATTCGCTGTAGTTAGTAGTTACCTTATGATATCAAAAATCATCAATGTCGGACACCGGATACCGGGTTTACACTTCACCCAGCGGCGGAATAGCTATCACACAAGATCATCGTTCGGCATCCCACGAGTGATCCATCCCACGATCCGACCTATTGCTTCGCCGCGCTAAGCAGAAGACCGCGGACAGGAGCTTAGTAACGCGCTGCTCATATCAAGGTCACGTGTATTTTCACGTGACTCGCCACACTGTCTAACATTTAAATGATTAAACACAGATTACACAATGCACAGTTACACTGCAGTTCGTGCCAAATCGAACCTTTACTCCTGGAGTCCCAACTCTCAGAGTCCAAAATTTAACGGCTGAAGCGGTCGAGTCTGAGGGAGATTTACCTGCCCTTTCTATTGTTTTTCACTGATGTAAAGCGCAAGTCCATATCCGTCTTCACTTTTCAAGTCCATGTATATCCATCCTGAGAAATGAGTTCGACCGAGCTTGAGGCACAAGTTTAAACGACAGTGCACTCAGGAGATGTATTTCCAGAGTTACCAACCAATAGAAGCGCATGTAGAGAATGCACCAAACCAAATGACAAGCAACACATACAGACAACATTTACAATAACGTTGTCGCGAGCTATCATGTCCAGAGACGGTGATCAAGATCCGGTTATTGATTTTGAGGAAATCCACGGCAAGGGGGCTATCTGGTTTGCTTTCAAAAAAAGTATTCAGGACAGGGTTATGGAATGAGCATTCCGACGTCCAAATCCTCGTGACTATTTGCACGTGTCCCAACAGCAGGAGACCCGGGCCATTTATAGAATTCTGTTCCTCCTGAGTAATGTTGTTGTCTCCCAGCCCAAGATCTGTGGAACCACGTCACCAAAACGACTTTTAGGACGGGCTGGTGATCTTCAGCATCCAAGCAAGTAAGCAACGGATTAGATGGATGTAGCAGTACCAAAAAGAAAAACGTCAGAGAGCGGCACTGCGGCAACGCAAAAAATATGTAGATACCATCACGACGCAAAACATTCTAAATCCTAGAAGTCGTAAAAACAAGCGGGGCTGGGTGGGGTATGTAGTAGGTGGCCTGGAGCTGATGGGTTGGGAGTTATCGTGTCGATACAGGAGATGGGACGATCGAATAATAAAACCTGAACTTTAGGCAGAGAATATATCATACATGCCAGGAGGCCGTAGTATTTGAGACTCACTTCCTAATCCTCATTGTACAGTGTTTTTGTGTGGGCAATGTCGGGTTCGACTCGAACTTTGACCATGGTTTTTCCATACTAATATGGCTGAAGATGTGAAAAAGATATCGTCAACAAGGCGAATTTAACGAAACCCCCGCTTGCAGGCAGCAGGATAGACTAATCTCAATGTCAATAAATGATCTTCACGCAGAACCTGGTACCTACGGTACTGCGCGATGGAAGATCTCATGCGCGGTGACAGGCCTTTCCGAAGTCCACTCCATTTGATATGTTAAACCGCGGACTGACTCTGCCAGTAAGTGATAATAGTGGACTCAGAGTCCAGACTGTCACACTGGCCTGCAACAATAACATCACATCACGTGTATTGCACGTGACATGTCACACCGTGTTTCATATGATAAATAATCACACGATGTCGATTCTTGAACCTGGCCTGCTGCCAGGCTGCAACTTGTTCTGTAACTGCGCATCTTCTCTAGTTGTACATTCTTATTATTCGAGCTTTGAAAAGACAGCCTCTTCTCTGGGGCTGCGCACCTCCGGTTACTGGCTAATTCTTGCCTTTTTCAATCGAGAACTTCGACAGCTCACCATGATCATTGTTTTAATCCTAGTGCTTGTGGACAGTCCAACATAGGAGCTTACACCTGTACACCATGACCGGAGAACTGACGCGAGTCGCCTCGGGCCATACGAGCCCTTTGCACGACACAACATATCTCACATCTCCTCTGGAATCCATCGTAAACTCCTTGGAGCCTAATTCCCTTCACTCCAACCATGACTTACTGGATGCATACAATACCTTCTCAAATAGAATCAGGGCTGAAGCTCAACAACTTCAGCAGAGCTCTGCTTCACTATCTGCCTTGGAGTTCTTACGCACCAAGGCACATGCATTTAGTCAAGCTTTAAGGCGTGATATTGCCCTCGCACACATCGATCCATTTATACCGCCTCGAGCCCTCACTTCCGGGGAATCGCTATTATCCGGGCCCCGACAATCAACTGCTGATGTGGTCAAACATGCGGGAGATTCATCTGCCATTTGCCAGCAGGCCCTTTGCGCCCTGTCTGACATTTTCAGATTCCATAGTTTGTATTCATTGTTTTCTGGTACGTGAGTCATGCTGTGTATCCGAGACTAATTATTGACACAAGTCTGCATGTACCAGATCCCGATATCTCGAGTCTTTTAGCCGAAGTTCTCAACATTACACACTCTCGGCGACTGCCAGTTCTGAACAGCGCGAAAGTGTTTTCTCTTGCGTTGTGGATCCTGGGTTCTCAGCGCTTACCTCAAAGTTTGTTATCATCACGAACATCAGACATAGTTTCCGTCCTCCGCAACACATTGGACACACAATCTATTGAACAGCAGTTTGCTCAACATACAGAGGATGGTCTTAAGGTTTGAAAGCGACTTTTCGAGATATGAATATTTGTTGACAAAATGCGTAGGGCGTACGCCACCTTTTGGAATTCTACCCAACAACGTTCTTCGTTCATGCAATTCAGCAGCTGCCTTTGATCCTCTCGCATTTGCTGTGTAATTCTTATGCCGTCCGCCTTCAAGCTGCACTGGTTCTAGGGAGAATGGCTCTCAGTTTGTTGGACAGCTCCTTTGACATCTCCCTCGATCACCGCAAAGTCATCTCAGACTTCGTTCTGGACTTCCTGGACAAACAATGGGCCAAAACGAATTCAAGGCAGATTTCGGAGCTTCACCGCATTGCCAAGGCAGCAATAGCTGTGGAGGAGAAATCCGAAATTGTTGAGGGACCCGTTTGGCTTTTGTCGACGATGTCTTCCCTCGTCATCCTCTCTGATCATTGTTTATTCTCTCACTCCGACACATTCAAATGTTTTATGCAGCTCGCTGTACTGGGCTTTGCACATGTGAGATCGGTGGTTCGGGGGTTGGCTCAACGCCTCTGGTCATGCCTTGCTGTTGCGTTTACAAGGATACCTGACGAAGACGTGCGAACCAAAGAAGCTGTCTTTCTCTACCTTGACCGAAAACCTCTAAGTGACATAGGAATCGCAGTTGTCACAATGCTCCTGAATACGTCAGCCGCGCCATCATCATCCTCATCTGAGCGAATTACATCCTTTGACGCGGTATCTAGAACCCTCACCCTTGTGCACGATATGGCACACGATTCCGACGAACACATTTCTTCTGACGGTCTTTCGCTTCTTCATAAGCTGATGGGCGGAGTGGGAGCTCCCGCGCCGTCCACTCCTGGTATGACTACGGGTTCACCCAGGTTACCCAGGTCGTTATTTGACGGCAGCTTACTCACTGGCAAATGGGATCGATCTACACTATGTTCCATCCATAGCTCTTCACTCACGGAGGTGCGGCATCTCTCCGAGGCAGAGATTATTCACCACCGAACGCGTCTGCGCTCCACGTGGGCACACCTAGCTCAGTCACGGATTTCATACGAAAGTTGCTTGCCAGTTCGTATCTCGTATTTCCACGCATACCCATAGTCACCGACTGAATATTGCTCCGCAGCCCAAATTGATCGAAATCTGGCAGTCTTTGCTCTTAGCAGAGTCACAATTGACCCAAGCATTCCATCACCTCACTATTCCGGCGGATCTCGCGGAGGAATCGGCACTCGTCATCGCTGGCTTTATTCCACAGACCCCAGATAATTCCGAGGAACCAGATTCCACGATATTAATTGCGGCTCAAGTTCGTGCACTGGTTGCTATCACGCAACTATGGTCAATGATGAAAAACGCCTTCACTTCAAAATGCATATCTACTGCTGCAAAGATCATCCTGGCGAATTTGTTTAAGTACGATTTTCGTCTCAGCGACAAGAGCATGCTGGATCGGTGGAGCAAGCTCTGCGCCGACCTCATTGTCGCCGCCATGCCTTTGTGGACCCAAGAGCTTTTTGCTATGAGCTCCTCGCAGATGACAGAAACTATCACACGGCAATTGTGGTCACTTGTGGCGCAGTCACTGATATCACAGCCCGAAATATCCTGTTGGTTGAACATAGTGAAACTTCTTGTCGTTCCTTTGGGGTATGTTACCCGCATTGTCGTCTTGAGATCATATTAACAATTTTTTTAGGTCGTGGACGATGTCTGACGTGGAGTTAGACGTCTGGGACTCATTGCTGCAGAGGACCCTCACTTCTGCAAGTCAGGCTTCTACAGAATTATCGACTGTCATCGACGCTATCGCCCAGGCTGTGTTACCAGTGGCATGTGTGGACCG